CCCTCTGCTTCAAGTTGTTGCATCTTTGCCTCATGTTCACCTAGTATGTTGTAAATTTCCCATGTCCTTTTTGCCTTTGGGCTCTGGTCGCCCATCTCAGGTAACCTATATCCTAGAAAGATTTTGTCATAGTCTGTATTTGAGTCTTCGCGTATTGTTTGCATGACTCTTTCCTGAGTTTCCGGTTCAAGCTCTTCAAACAGAGCTTGTCCATATGGAATATGCTCGTTTCCAAATATATGTTTTTTGTAGCCATTCTGGTTTTCTTTCCATGTTACCAACAATATCTTTTGTGAATGGGAAAGCTTTTACCCAATCTTTCAGTCTTGCGTCGTTTATTTCTGTAGTTGGTTTTATTTTGTCAAGGAACATGTTTTTCAATACTAACATTTCATTTGGTACTGTCCATTTGAGTTTTCTTAAATATTCATCCCTTCTCAGTTCATCGTCTGCAAAGTAAGTTTTTATGACATTTTGCAAACTTTCGTTTGCAAGGTCATGTACAATAGGTTCTCTTCCTTCTCTCTCCCTAACTCTCTTTCTAAACTCTTCACCAAATATACCATCTCTATGGTTCTGTGTAGTTCTTTGAGATAAATGTTCTAGAACGTCAGGTGTTATATTTCCATCAGCCATGTTCATTTCATACTGGTCCAAAATATCTGCATGTTTCATATCTTTCAATGGCATTAAAGCCGCACTTAAAATACCAGCTATATCTGGTTCACCATTGACTTCCATTGCGTCTACAACTTCTTGGAATTGAGGTTGTAAGTTTATGAACCACCTATCCGGATTAGCTTTATGACCCCATCTCATTGTAGTTCCATCGTCTGCAGAAACAAAAGTAGGTTTGTTTCCATCTTGGTTAGGTTCTGAATGAACTTTAAACAATGTTTCATTTCTATATGTTTTCTTGAAATTTAACCTTTTATTTTCACCGAGTTCATCCGAAGATTGAACGTTAAATGGTCGTAAGTAAAAAGGGTTGTTGTATTTGCTTACATTTTCTTTCAGTACTTCCATTCTATGCTGAATATTTTCATCTGGTGTTGGAGTCTTTTGTATGTCGGCAAACATTTTTCGATATTCTTCTACTATGTCAGCCGAATTTTTTTTAGACTCTTGGAAATATTCCATATTCTCCGCATACACTTGTTGAGGGTCAAGATTTTTCGGCTGTTCCAAATCTTCATCTAGTTCTGTGAAGTTAGTTTCCAAAGGAGGGACTTGTTCGTTTCCTTCAGGCTCTTCTAGCTGTTGTTGCTGAACTATTTCTTCCATGTCTGGTTGTATCTGAACTTCTTCCTGTGGAGTTTCTTGTACCTCATCTGCTGGCATTTCATATATTCCGAGACCGTTTTCAACAATTTCCCTATCTACGTCATCCGCATTCATAAGCTTTTGTTCTTTCGTTCCGTCTCTATTTTTTACGCGTTTCATGACGAAAGTTGAATTGTCATTTAGCTCTGACATCAAATATCTCGGAGTAAATTCATCCATGTCATTTGGATGATATGCTATTAAATCATATCCCTTAGCGAGCTTGTATTTTCCAGGTTTGAGATTATATCCGTTTTGGTGCTGAGCCATAAAGCTAAATAGGTTCGGGTCAGTATTTCCATCATTGAACTTTCTAATAGCTTCTTTATATCTGTCACTAAAGTCAACAGTATCTGGGAAACCACACTCTTCTTTAAGCATTTTTAAGAATTCTTGGTTTCCTTGTTCTCTACTTCTTTTATGTCCTTGCTCTGTTTGTGGTTGTTGTTGTGCAGGGTTTTGAACTGTTGGTTGTGCTGGATTTTGAACTGTTGGTTGTTGTTGTTGTTGTTGTTGTTGTTGTTGTGCAGGGTTTTGAACTGTTGGTTGTTGTGTTGGTTTTGGTGCATGCCTGTGTCTATGTCCATGTGACGATGTAAATGTTTTAGGTAGTCCTGGTGCAGGTGCTTCTCTTGGAGGGTTTGGTGGTATATAAGTTCCACCAGCTGGCACATATGTTCCATCTGCAGCGTAATGTCCTACCTGACTTTTCGTTCTTAAGAAAGCATTTACTAGGTCTGTTTTGGTCTGTTGTAACTCTTTTTCTTGACTTTCCACAACAGTTGCTCTAACGGCGTCATAGGCACTTTGAACTGCCTGTCTCGTTGCTGCATCTGTTATTTTCGTCATATTTTGTGCTACTTCTTTTAACTCTTTGTCGAAACCTTCAGACTTCAGTTTCTTTCCAGATGAGAAGTCGTTCACTTGTTTCACCTTACTATGAAGAGCTTCGAAGGCGTTCTTAAAGTCAGCATTCGTTAAAGCTTCATTTGAACTATCTTCATCCGCTTGTATTTTTGTCCTTATTGACCCTATGAGTTGGGCTGCTTTAGCGTTGGCTTGGGCATCTAACCAGTCATTGTTAGCTTTTATATATTCTGAGCTTTTCATTGCCTTTTGCATGGCTGCGTCGTTATTTTTACTTTCTTGTGCTAAGTTTTCATACTGTACGGTTTGGTTTTGCAACTGTAAAAGTTTTTCTGCCTTTACATTTGCTTCAACTTCCTTTTTATACTCATCGCTATCCATATATGTCTTCAGGGCTTTTTGTTTTATCTCTTCATCTTTCAGTACTTTATATTGAGTAGTATGGTTTTTCAAATTTATGACATCTTGTTCCATTTTTGCTACTTCTGCTGCTTTTCTGACACTTTTTTCGCATATTGCTCTGTACTTAGTTCTTTCAGTTGTTCTTCTTTCTTCTTTTTCTCTACGTTTAACTCATTGAGTTTCTTTGTGTGTCTGTCATATTCTAGTTTTTTTTCGTTTTCACCTATTTGCTTCTGTATGTCTATGTTTGACTTTTTGACATCTGCTATTTGATTTTTGAGTGAACTCAAATTCATTTGACTTTGAGGGTTATAGGCTGTTCCGTCTGCAGCTCCACCATAGCCTGCCATTTTCGCTAAAAGTGCCGCTCTTAAACCTCCACTCTGTGCACCAATGACTCGGTTTAAAAGCATAGGATTGCTTGACATTTGTTGCAACATAGTGGGTCATTCAGCATTTGTTGTTGCAACTGTTGTTGGTGTCAGTCTTACTATTGGATGTTTCAATGCTCTCTTCCTCTTACGTATATTCTTACGTAGCTTACGTGGCATTTTAAGTGAAGTTAAAAAGCGGCTTTATACTAAACATCTTCGGGGCTAGAGGGCACGAAGTGCCTGGAAGCCCCAATACCTTTTTTTTTTTGTTTATCATATATTACCGAATTCAATTCCCTACATATTTCAAAATATTCTATGAACATTTCAATTTTTGAAAAAAACATATTTTTTTCCAAATATATTTATTATCATATTTCTAATAATATTTCCTAAAGCGTCACTTTTTACTTCCTCGACGATTATTTCCCTCTCAAAAAATTCAATAGCTTACATTTTGACAGAACTTAATATGTAACACTTGAGAATATTTTGTAGAATTGTAAATAGTATTTTATTTAAAAAAACGGGAACATAAAAAATTGAGAATTGACGTCAAATCTTTCAAAATTCAATTAAAGATAAAGTAGTATCGATGGCATACTGATATGATATCTTATAAAGAATCGATGGTATCGTTTGTATTAACTAACAAAAAAATCATTAGTCAAAGTAGTAGTATATGAAGGGTTGTGTGACTTTTTTTGTAAACGTAAGAATTCATACAATATCGAGCGATTTTGTATCATTTTTTTAACATATGAAGTAAAAAATGTATGATTCTGACGGTTTTTTATTCTTACGTTTTTGAATAAATCAAGATTTAAAAAATTTTCAAAATTGTAAGACATTTACACTCAGCCCATACATAATGAAATAAACACATTTTAAAAAATTAACATTAATTTTAAAATAATTTATTTTTCATCTTTTATAAAAGAAGCTATATATAGATGATGTCAGATATTCCGCGATTAATTAAACATTGTTTAAATCCTGAATGGAATCAATGGAGTCATAATCAAAGACCTCATAAACGATAAAAAGAAATTAGATATGATTATTTGAATTTATGAAATCAATTATTTGATTCATTCTTTCTTCAATCTCTTCTATTCTTTTTGTTAAATCATCTATTTTCATTAATGGGGTGATTCTTGATTGAGGAATAGATTTCAAACTAACCACTCCTTTTATTTTTGAAATTTTGAATCCATCAACTTTAAACATTTTATTCAATTTACATGTTGTCAATTCTTCAAATAATTTTTTATTATTAGCATAATAGTCATTAAATTCTTCAACAGATGAAAAAATTTTTGTTTCAGTAATTGGTTTAACAACGTTTATTTTTTGTTGAACATTTTTACTTTCACTTATTTCATCCCCCTCTGTTTCATTTATTTTTAAAATCGGTTTCATTTATCATTAAATAAAAATTAGAATATAAGTGATGAAATATATTTTTTAATTAATATTAAATCAGAAATGGCGGCAGGATTCTTTAAAAAATTATGGGATGGAATTAAGAAAGCTGCAGGTTGGGTTCATAAAAATATTATTAAACCCGTTGCAAACTTTTTGGCACCAGTAGCGAAAACGGCAGGAACTATCATAGGTGGAGTATTAGGTACTAAAGCAGGTAATCCGGCGATGGGAGCACAAGCGGGTAACGCAATTGGTGGAATTGCTGAAGGAATACTTAATAAAATAGGGGGTAGATAGTGGAAAAATAAATAAATATTATTTTTATCTTAGTATCGGTTGAAGTCTTTGATAAACTTTTTCTCCTTTATTTAATATTTCTCTTATTGGGGCAGCTTTTGGTGTTATTGATTCAGCAACGTCACTAATTGCTTCTTTATTCTTAAATATCCAATTTGCTCCTTTCTTCATTGTTTCCCAAACTTTACTCGCTCCTCTTTTTACTTTATCCCACAGTTTCTTAAAGAATCCTGCAGCCATAGTTGATTATTTCATTAAAATTAAAAATTCATTTTCATCTTTTAATTTTGATTTTTTATTTAATAATAAATGACGACTAACTATTTGGTGCCAAACACTAAACCGATTAATGGAAATGTGTTTCATTCATTCGAAAAGATAAATGAAATATTTGCAAAGAATGACGGTAGAAGATATTATAGAGAACTTGAAAGTTCATGCTATGACTCTGATACTCCATATTTTGATGATAAACAAACTCATTTAAGAATTACAAATCCGGCTCATGATGTGAACCAATTAGGTGACACATATATTAAACGCAAAGTTAAAGCAACTCTAGTTTCAAATAAAGCTTTCACATGTGATGCCGCTTTTAAATGCATGCGTTTATTCGTTGGTTACAAATCATCAAATCAAAGCTTTAAACAATTAGAAGTAGAAACCGAAAGAGGTGATGCCGGTTATCTTCAGATGGATTGCGCCCGTGAATCTTTCGCATTTGCAACATATAAACCGAAATCAGAAAGGAAAGTTAAAAAGTTTGTTCATTCGTTATATAATAATGTTCAAAAATATGATAACTCAGTATGTGGAAAATATATTGACCCTTCAGAAGTTTTCAAGAGAGCAAATGAAGAAGTTGATATCACTTTTGATATGATTATTCCGGTAAATGATTTGTTAGCATTTCAGGTGTTCGATGATTATCCTAAATCATTTGGTGATATCATTCTTAAATATTATGTTTTCAGGGATACTTTAGTATTTTGTCAGGTTGACCCGTTAAGAGTTGCTGATTTACAAAATTACGTTTATGAAAAGATAACTGATGAAAATTATGAAAAGATTATGAATCATGTTTATAAATATGATCGCAAATTCCAACAAATCGGACTTCCTACCAAATTAATTACAAGCTTAGCCGCTACATCTGCTGACGCAACAGTTGATGACGTTATTATTTCATGCACAAAGATGGAAGTTTTAGAGGATAAATGCATTACACCAGGATACGGTTTAATTGAAGAATCAGTTAAAGCAATACCACGTTTATTCAGTAAGGAAGATCCATTCATGATTCCAGCTCAACATATTGACGTTCGTTCACTAAATGGAGGTTGCATCACTCCTGAAGGTATCAGCTCAGATTTCTCATACGCTCTTCATAACGTTACAGATGTTGTGTTAACATTTCCGAAGAATGCAATGCAAAGAACGGTTTTAGAAAATCCAATGCTTCGAGGTCTTCAGGTCACTATAGATTCCAGAAACTTCCCCGATCAAGCGATGACCACAGTGGGTGACATATTCTTTACACGTATGCTTCAAGCTTCTGATTTAGATGGAGTGAATGAATGCACAGAAGAATACTAGGACTCATTAACTAGACCACTGAATGCAGATGATGGCACGCCATCAGCTAGAACATGGAAAGACCAAACTTCATTCTTATGCACTATTCCAGTTCAACGTAATGGAGCGGGTATATTCTTTGATGGATTAGAAACTTTCAACTCACAAGTTACAGTACAAGTGAAAGCTTATCCAATCATTCAGGGTGAAAATGACACTTACTGTTCAAAAGTGACAAATCCTCCTCAGGTTTGGTTTACTAGGACTACATATTGGACATGGACACCAGATGAAGGTTTGAAATATCATCCAACAGGTACACCACCCAGTATAGAAGTTCATATGATGAAATATTGATGAATAGAAATGTTTAAAATTATAAATTTATTTTTGATTAAATGGATTTAAATTCATCCACCCCTTATGAAGAATTAGCAGGAGTATATAATACATACGTAGATGATATGATTAATGAAGCATTAAGTGATAATAGAAATGCTCTATCTAAGGAAAAATTAATGAAAATTCCATATTCTGAATGTTACTTAAATTCAATCACTGCAGCAATTGGTAAACAGAATAAAGGTAAAACATTAACGATATTAAAACAAATTATCATTATTGCTAACACTTCCCCCTATTCACATGTGTTAATTTATATCAACCGTTCAGGTTCACCTTCAGATGATACATTTGAATCTTTAAAGCATTTAATCAAAATTCCAATTATTTATTTATCACAAGAAGAAGCAGAAGATTATTTAAAAAACTTTTTAATGTATAAAGAATTATATAATACAATCAAGAAGCAAGGATTAGAGGATAAAATTATTGATAAACAACGGGATGAATTATTTGAAACACTTTCTATTTCAAATTTTGATAAAGAATTTTTGCATTCACTAATTTTTCTAGATGATGCCGTGAAATCAAAACTAATAACTAATGAGAAATCATATTTTAATCAATTATTAACTCAATGTCGACATATTCAATGTTCATTCTTTATGGCTGTTCAATACTTTAAAGCATTAAGCACAAACATTAAATCAAACCTGTCCACCCTTTTCATTTTCAGTGGTTTTAGTCGTCAACAGTTGAACGTTATGCTTTATCAAGTGAATTTACCAATGAGCATTAATGAACTTTACACACAATATCAACAATTAGGAGAACATGGAAAAATAATAGTTGATTTAAATAAAGGAGGTGTTAAATTTGATTAACTTTTTATAATTAATTTTTATTTTTTATTTATAATTAAACATGACAGAAATAGCAAATCTTCTACAGGTTCCATTAAAACAAGGAACAAACAAAAAGGGTGCATATAATAGAACTATGAAAGTTCCTGATGGAATGAAAGAATTAGTTCATATTGTTGCTGGTCTTCAAAAAGATGTTAAACAAATGAGAAACGTTTTAACATTACCAGAAGCTCAAGCATATGCCAAACGTCATGGCCCAAATTGGGAAGCACACGAAGCAGACATTACGGGTCCAAATGGAAAACCCGATGGTATAAATGAAGTTTTCGTTACTGATGGTCAAGGTAATATTAAAGTCATAAATGGTTATAAATTAACTGTATCTGATTATCCTAAACGTAAAGCATATAATGAACATTATCCTATGCAATTTGATGAAAATGGAAAAGCTGTTAAACAATACATTGGAGAAGGTGAAAATGGTCCAATTAATTCATACCGTCATAATCCATATTCTTATTTCAATGACGAATTAAATGCTATTGAAGAGGGACCGGATGGATTACCACGATATGTTAATCAGTTTGATGGTCAATATGCAAATATTAGACCCGAAATTTCAGCTAAGAAATTCTTTAAAGTTGCTTTATTCGATCCAGTGTTCAATGAACAGAAAGAAGCAATGAAAGCAGAATTTAAACCAATTCAAGTGGCAAGAATTTCTTCATCTTCACTTTCAGAAGCGTTCAAGGAATTGATAAAGAAACCACTTTATTCTCAACAAGGTTATAACTTTGATTTAATTAAAGAAAGTGATAGACGTAAATTAGAAAAATCAGATGGTTTTAAGAATGCATGTAATGAAATGATTAAAGATATTGTAAATGATAAAATAAGACTGGGAGAAACTCAAATCATTATCAATAACATAATTGGTGCAGTTACAAAGAAAGTATAAGCAAACAAGGATGAACCTTGGGATATTACCGTAACAACTAAATAAAACTTTAAATATATTTTTCTTTTTTTTATTCAATTATAAATGAGAAGACGTTTCACAAGTCAAAAGAACACAAACGCAAAAGCAGAGATTACGGTTGGTTATAACGTAAATGATGATAAATCACGAATTATTCAAAATGTTAAAGTTAATGTTAGTCCTGAATTAACAAGGTCAGCAACTCAACCAAATTTATTAACTCGTGACTTACCAAAGAAAGAGGAGGAACAAAATAAAGAAGATGAAGACCCAATCATTTTATCTGAACCTGGTAAAGAACCTGTTGAAATTCCCACTTATCCAACATACCCCCCACCTCTTTCATCAAACATCGAGAACCCATATAAAATAGACATTAATTCTGAATTAATGAAAATTTACCGTGATATAATAATTAATAATTATGATTCAATAATAAATTTAATTGACCAATCCGGTTTAATTATTTTACCTTATGAATCATTAATTCACATTATCGCCATTCTTTGTGATGTTCAAGATTCAGACGTTAAGATTCAATTTTTCATAGATGATGAGGTTTCATGCTGTGGAACAGTTGCAAAAATAAATCCTATAAAGGATATTAGCACAATTAAGATATCAAAGAATGGAACAACAACTGAACTTCATTTAACATATAATAATATTTATAATAAAATAGTTGATGAATATAAAATATCACTTGAAAAATTCTTTGTTAAGGCTATTTAATATTCAAGCATTAACATTATCGAATAATAATCCTTTGAATCATAATCAATAATAATTGACCTTTCACCAGTTTCTATCGTTTGTTTTATTTCTTTTTGTTTCCCACTATCTGGATCAGTCATTGTAATTGTTTTTGTTATAGTATCAGCTTTATCTTTAACTTCAATCTTTTTTCCATCAGGATATTTAAACCAAAATTCCAAAAATTCGATATTGTCAATCTGTTCATATTTTAATCTATCAATTACATTTTTAATACCATCTGAAAATCTTATGAAATGGTCATTATATGGGTTTGATTGAACTAAATTTGAATGAAGTGAAATATAACCTGATGATGAATATGACATTGACTCGTATTTTCTGAAAACACTAAAATTTATAACATGAATGAATTTCTTATTCGTTGAATTTATGAATTCTTGAGGTAATCTTATTCTAGTTTTATTTATCACTGGAAAATAACGCTTTACCATATTTTTAATTGTAATAAAAATGTCAATTATCAATATTATTTCAAATAATAACTGTGAATTAAATTTAACAGTTAGTGGAATTTATAATGTTACTCTCGTTTCTGTGAGTGGTAAATTTAATCCCATTCTTTTAGACCCTTCAGATTATATATCATTTATTAAAGATGACCATGAAAAAACGTATGATATGTATATAAATAATGTAATAGCGAAATGGGATATTAACACGATTTTAAGTTATTTAAATGAATCATTTATCGTATGGTATGAAGAAAATTTTAAATCAAAACCCGATAAACTTTTTGAACTTGATGAAATAAATAACCTTATTAAATTTCCGCTGAAAATTAAATTTTGTACTCCTCATCTTCGTTCATTGTTGGGGATATTAAATTTTGAAAAAGATGTTGGGGATGTTTTGTATTCTGACACTGGTTCCAATTTCATTTTAATCAAATGTGATAAAGTTAATACCCCAATGAGATTTTCACATCAAACATTAGACCCTAACTCTTACCCATCAATACAAAACATTTTATCCATCAACTTAAACACATTTTCTTTATCATATCCGTTTCAATTATCCGGGAATTCATTTATTCTTCATTCAAAAGATTTATCAAATATTAAATTTAGAATAACTGACCTATTTGATTGTGATTTAGAATTTATGAATGAAATATTATGGCAATTTCAAATAGAAAAAATAGCTGATGAGATAACAGATTAAATATTTATTTTTAAATCGTAATAAATGATTAAACAACAGCAACCACAACAAAATAAGGCACAAAGCACCCAGGTCCCTCAGACCATTACATACGCCATATATGCATATAATTCAAAGACGGCAGAACAAACGCAAAGGTTGAAATATGGAGATTTGGAGATAGTATTGAAAAATGAACATTTCTAATTCGTTTGCAAAGGTGGTGCAGTGATATCAAATATAAAAGAAATTTTATTTATGAATTCAAAAATTAAAGGAATAACGGATGATATAACATCAATTCCACCAGAAGAACAAAGATATTACGCATTAAATGCATTTCCTAAAGTTTTGAAGATTGGAAGATTTAATTTAAATGAGGAATTCATAAAAGGTTTCCTAAATGACATAATGAAGAAAGCAGATAAGGAATATGTGGCTAGTGAGTTAATGAAGAAAGCAGATAAGGAATATGTGGCTAGTGAGTTAATGAAGAAAGCAGATAAGGAATATGTGGCTAGTGAGTTAATGAAGAAAGCAGATAAGGAATATGTGGCTAGTGAGTTAATGAAGAAAGCAGATAAGGAATATGTGGCTAGTGAGTTAATGAAGAAAGCAGATAAGGAATATGTGGCTAGTGAGTTAATGAAGAAAGCAGATAAGGAATATGTGGCTAGTGAGTTAATGAAGAAAGCAGATAAGGAATATGTGGTTAGTGAGTTAATGAAGAAAGCAGATAAGGAATATGTGGCTAGTGCGTTAGTGAACAAGGCAGATAAGGAATATGCTAATGAAAAAGATAATGAAATTAAAGAAAGGGTTGAATGGTATCATGAATGGACATCAAAGATTTTAAAAAGTAAAGCTGATACAGGATGGGTTTCAGGATGTTTAGACCTTAAAGCAGATAAGGAATATGTCAACAGTGAGTTAGAGAAGAAGGCAAATAAGGAATATGTGGATGAAATATACCAAAGTTTGATAGGAACAACTAAAAATATTGAAACTATTGTTGGTGACTTTTCTGTCAATGAAGAAAATAAATATTTTAGATGGCAATTGGTACAGTCCTTAAGAAATGGTATACGGTATAAACTCATTCCGAAAAATAACAATGAAATGTATGTAAGCTATATAAAGAATAATGGTACACAAGTTAAAGTTCCATTAGACAACAACTGTTACTTGAACTTATATGGAGACGAACAAAAGAAATATTTAAGAGTTTATGAAATGACAGATATGACATTGCCTCGCACAGCTCCAGTACCATATTATTATGACTATGGAGATGATGTCAGAACACCACATGTAGATGAACAAAAGTTAACATTATATTTAGATTATTATAGATATAAAAGATATAATGCAATAGAAAAAACGAGAATAGTATATTATTATATAGATGACAAAAATAAATATTATAGTCAAGATTTTACCTACCCTGAAAACATAAGATTATATTATAAAAAATATTCCGACACAAACCAGAAGAAACCTGAAATAGTTTCACTATATTTTAAGTTCAAAAGAGACAATCCTATATTATCTCATATGTTTGATTTAATGAACCCAGTAGGTTCTATTTATACGTCTATGGATGCGAGAGGTCCTCAAGCAATGTTTGGTGTTGGTGCATGGGAACAGATTGTAGACAGGTTTTTGTATTGTGCAAACTCTTCAAAGGAAACAGGTGGAAGTAAAACGATTACAGGTGAAAATTTACCTGCACACAGTCACTACATAGATTTAAGCACATCTCAAGCGGGTTGGCATAAGCATAGATATTGGGATTGGTCAGGAATGACAAAAGGTAAAGGATATGATGTTAAAGATGACGTTAAGTTTGCTATAAATTGTTACTGGGATGACACTCAGGGAGAAGGAAACCATACACATTTCGTTTCAGGATATACACAAACAACAGGACAAAGTAAAGAATACATGCCACCTTACATGACAGTTTACGCATGGTATAGAGTTCAATGAATCATTTATTTTTATCATAAATTTACACCAAAAATAATTTTTAGGTGAAGAGGTGAGATCTCACCTTTTTTTCACCTGTTTTTTTCACAAGCGTTTTACCATGTGCTACCAGGTAATTTAACTTTTCTGAAAAAATGTGACAACATGACATTTTGACAACAACATAGGTTCTTCAATAATGAATTATTTTTGAATAACTGATAGGGTCACCAGGTCACCAGGTCACCAGGTAATTTAACTTCTCTGAAAAAATGTGACAACATGACATTTTGACAACAACATAGGAGGATGGCATTTATTCATTATTTTTGAAGAACTGATAGGGTCACCAGGTCACCAGGTAATTTAACTTCTCTGAAAAAATGTGACAACATGACATTTTGACAACAACATAGGTTCTTCAATAATGCTTCATGAATGCCTTCCTCATTAATGTTTTTAGGTTATTCAATAATGCTTCATGAATGCCTTCCTCATTAATGTTTTTAGGTTATTCAATAATTCATTATTTTTGAAGAACTGATAGGGTCACCAGGTCACCAGGTCACCAGGTAATTTAACTTCTCTGAAAAAATGTGACAACATGACATTTTGACAACAACATAGGTTCTTCAATAATGCTTCATGAATGCCTTCCTCATTAATTTTTTAGGTTATTCAATAATTCATTATTTTTGAAGAACTGATAGGGTCACCAGGTCACCAGGTCACCAGGTAATTTAACTTCTCTGAAAAAATGTGACAACATGACATTTTGACAACAACATAGGTTCTTCAATAATGCTTCATGAATGCCTTCCTCATTAATGTTTTTAGGTTATTCAATAATTCATTATTTTTGAAGAACTGATAGGGTCACCAGGTCACCAGGTCACCAGGTAATTTAACTTCTCTGAAAAAATGTGACAACATGACATTTTGACAACAACATAGGTTCTTCAATAATGAATTATTTTTGAATAACTGATAGGGTCACCAGGTCACCAGGTCACCAGGTAATTTAACTTTTCTGAAAAAATGTGACAACATGACATTTTGACAACAACATAGGTTCTTCAATAATGAATTATTTTTGAATAACTGATAGGGTCACCAGGTCACCAGGTCACCAGGTAATTTAACTTTTCTGAAAAAATGTGACAACATGACATTTTGACAACAACATAGGAGGATGACAAAAATAAATTCCAATCATACTTTATAAAGCATCATTTACAGGTATTTCATCGTCAGTAAATGAATCATCATTATCGTTTGGTTCAACCTGTTTATATAATCCTTTCATTTCTTCTTTCAAAACATAATACCATGTCTGTTTACCATCTATTTTTCTTTGTTTCCTATCACATTTATCCTTAATACTCATTTGGAAATTCTTGTCTTTCATGTCTGATGGTTTGCAGAATAGAGCATTTTTACACGTCATACCTACACACAATTCATCATAATGTGTATTTATCCATACATCTAAAGGATTTGTTGATAATTCAATTAAATCTTGTTTGGCTTCAGTCATCGGAATGATTCGTACATTAAATGATGAAAGGTCATATTGCATAAAATACGTCAGCAAATTATCATAAAATTCCTTAGTGCATGAATTCATCAAATTCTTGAAGTAATCAAATTGACCCTTAAATTTACCATTAACTCTTAAAACTACATATCTTCTGTCTCCAACTTCAATTTTGACAGGGTAAACGTTATTAGTTACGAAAATGAAATTGGCAACGTTCTGAGCAGTTCTTCTGGGTTGATTCTTTTCATTAATTCTTATCTCATTATCCGTTATAATTGATTTCAAAGCGTTGAAGTTTGCGAGTCTATCTTCACCTACATTCTTGAGTTCATTAAGTACAAGAAACATTTTATTCTCAACTACTGAATTAAAATTACCCGTTAACTCACTTATTTCAGTAATGTTTTTGCATGAATAACCGGCAAGAAGTTCAGAAATAATGTCAGTGAATCTGTTTTTACCTGTTCCCTGAAGTCCTTTCAAAATAATTGCTGTTTCATTCTTGATTCCAGGATGTTGAATCATTGATGCAATCCAGCCGAGAAGGTATTTATACACTTCATCATTATTATCACAAATGACTTCTTTAATGAAATTCATAAACATCTCAATTTTTGAGTAATCAGGCTTTTCAAGAATGTTGTATTTATAACCCTGAAACGTTGAGAAAACATCAGGGGAATCAGATTTAAAGCAAACACCCTTAACGGTTAATGAAGACAATTGATTTAATAGTACATCCCATGCTGTTATTGTTTTACCTTCTTCTTTAAATAATTTAATCATTTTCAGTGACTCTTTCATGTTTGATTGAAGAACGAATGATATTTGATTCATTTTGTCGTGGATGTTGTAGTCCTTTTGAATGAAATATTTGTTTCCACAATCTACAAAACGGATTACACGTGATAAATCCTCAATTACTTCAGAACTGTTTTTATACTGATGATTTTCAGCCTTGCGTCTAATATCTGTTATCAAAAACGAGTCATCAAGTTTGATATCAAATGTCATTTTTGGCTTACGTAATAAAGGCAAAACATATTCATCATAATATTCCTTTTGATATAGTTTTAGAATCTTCACCAAAACAAATGGAGAAGTCATTAAATATGCATATCTTTCACGTGCTTTTTCAAAATTACTTTTTGCATTTTCTGTTAAACTGCAGAAGTTATAAACGTTATCGTATGCTTCATTAATCAAATGATTAGGTAACGAATTAATAGCTTGAAACAGTGTGAATAATGTTATTTCTTTTTCTAAATTCATGTTTCCACCGTCATTATGTACTTCAAAATCACAGATGCCATCAACTATGCTCTGAGCTAGTTTATCGTCAATGTTTACATCTTTGTTTTCATTGACGATAGTCTTTATTTCTTCATTCTTCTGTTCAACTCTTACCTTAATATTCAAATCATTTAATATATCATTCACTGTTCTGGTTAATGTTGAATCATAACTTCCACGAATGAATGAGTATGTATTGATTGGTTCTGTTGCATTCTTGCGAACTCTTGAATCAGCCATAACTACTAAAGAACGTTTTGAATCATCAATAGAAGTCATTATGTCAATATCATAATCATTGCAGGAATAACATTTAATCATTCTGTTCGAAACTGCATAGAAGAAATTAGTGTTGCAATAAATGTGAAGACCTCCTGAAGCGGTTTTAACGATAACATCTTTATCCGAAAGTTTTGATAGAATGTCTTTTCTCACTGTTTCTTTAAGTTCATCATCGTATGATTTATTGATATCAACATCTATAATCGTTAAATTCGAAATTTTATTTACTAATAAAGCCATACCAGTTTTCCTTCCTCTTCCTCCATCATGTTTGAGGTAGTTATGTAAATCAATCTTGTTTTCACCAATTCTTTCGTTGAGGGTTTTAGTTTCTGTCATAACTAATTCCTCAACTAATGAGTCAATAACTTTTTCATCAGAAACGATATAGTCACTGTTGTTGTTTGTTGCCACAACTAATTCCTCAGCTAATTCCTCAACTAATGAATCAATAACTTTTTCATCAGAAACGATATAGTCACTGTTGTTGTTTGTTGCCGTCATTTATATAGGAATAAAAAAATAAAAATAATTTTAAAACTAACTTTATTTTTGGGCTACATCATATTTCCTATGTTGTTGTCAAAATGTCATGTTGTCACATTTTTTCAGAGAAGTTAAATTACCTGGTGACCTGGTGACCTGGTGACCCTATCAGTTATTCAAAAATAATTCATTATTGAAGAACCTATGTTGTTGTCAAAATGTCATGTTGTCACATTTTTTCAGAAAAGTTAAATTACCTGGTGACCTGGTGACCTGGTGACCCTATCAGTTATTCAAAAATAATGAATTTCATTAGTTAGAAAAATAACGCTAATTTTATTTTTTATCTCATATGTAAAGACAGTAATGACAAACATTGAGTTTGAAACAGTTAGAAAGATAGACAATGACACCAAAGTGGTTAGAATAGGTGATTTAAACATAAGATACTCAAAGAAATACAACAAATATTCTTTGTCAGACATTATATCTCCATCTGAAAAGAAAACAAACGACTGGGTTAGAAATGCTTCAACTCAGAAAATTTTGACAAGAAATCCTGAGCTTATGATATCAGTAGCATTTCATGGAACAAGAGCATATCTTATAGACAAAAGTCTTATACCAATAGTTTTGTTATGGTTAGACCCAGTTGTTGGATATAACTTCATAACATATGGTTCATTCGATACGGAACGTTGCAGTGAAGGCTTAGTTTATATCGTTCAGAAACCGAAGGACTTCAACACAAAAAGATATAAGATAGGAAGGACATATAATATAACTCAAAGATATGACAGTACAGTCAATAGAGTCAAGGTTGTGTTTGTTAATGATATGAGAGCTGCTGAAACAGAACTGCTTGAAGTTTTTGAGAAAATGTATGGTGCTCCCACGAAAGGTAAAGAAACGTTTGAAGTAGATGAGATAGATAAAGCTATAAAATTATTTGACAAAGTTGCTGAAAAATACATGTAAAGCGTTTATTTTTGGTCTTTTGTGAAAGTCAGAAAATAAAGTTAGTTTTATTTATTTTGTATGTAAGAACAGTAATGTCAACATCAGAGAACACAACAACAGTTATAGTCCATGAAGCTATAAATGAAGAATACGAGTACATACAGTATAACAAACAACTTCGCCTCATTCGTTCGGTCAAAGATGACATGTACCAAATGCAAAGTATAATGAATGCTCTTCGTTCTACAAAGCAAGTATATCATTGGTTTGAAAACCAACAGACAAAAGAACTTTTAGAAGAATTTCCTCATATGATTGCTTCCCTCGGAAAACCAAGAGAAGAGATTCCGTATGAAAATCGCAAGCGGTTAGAAATGAGGTTAGATCTACCCTTCTACCCTAAAATATATTTTGGGTCATTTACACTCATTACGATGAAATCATAACTGCCATCCTCCTATGTTGTTGTCAAAATGTCATGTTGTCACATTTTTTCAGAGAAGTTAAATTACCTGGTGACCTGGTGACCTGGTGACCCTATCAGTTATTCAAAAATAATTCATTATTGAATAACCTAAAAACCATTAACGATAAAATAACTGATAACAAAATTTTATTTTTATATAAATGGATACCCCGCAAGCTCAAAATTTACCACGAATCATAACAAGGGAGGAAACGATAAAAATGATGCGAGAACTTGCTAAAAATAACAAACCACTAAAACCGAGAAAATGTGGTTATGCAGTAATGATGGAAAGAGAGATGTTGTCAAAGAGGAATAAAAATTAAATTTGGATTGAGTTTAAAAATTCATCTTTATTAAATTCATCTCTTCCAATCAATTTATTTATTCTATTAAATTCTTTTATTTTTGCTTCACTCAGTTTAAGGATTGAACGGTAAGTTTTTAATTTTTCGATTATTTCTTTCCTCTCTTGATCGTTTTCAACCTCACCACATTGCGGCTTCTTTTTGTAATAGCATATTTTTGATTTAATTCTGTTTAGTTTCTTTTTATATTCATCGTCTGGACTCTTGGCCGCTTCGTTGTCACCCATTTCTTACGAAATAAAAAAAATTAAATATTATTTAAATATAATGGAGTAATAAAATAAATCGGAATTTCTATTAATTTATTGTCAACTTCAACTAATGCATTGCCGTTAATATATCTAACAAATTCAGCTATTGTGTCAAATCTTCGTCTTTTTTGTCATTGATTTATCAGTTTTTCCATAATCGAGATGAATCAAAACTTTATCCCCTTGTTTAAAATTCATGAGCCCCGAATTAATTTGTTCACGTTTAACATCATTCAACCTTTCCATTTGCTTTCTAATATATTTCCATTCTTTTGAAATATATCATTTTTCATTTCCACCGGTTTCATGTTTATTGTTCTATGCCATGTATTATTGTAATAATATACTAACTGCTGTATGATGGAGTCATGATTTCCATCCCAGTATATCTGACCGTTAACCCCTAACGCATCTCTAAGAGTTCTCATTACCGCATCAACTATTTTATTATGAAACGTATATGGAGAGGATGAAAAGTAAAAATTAATTTGTGGAAATAATGAGCCATAGCTGCCTGAAATCCTTTATCACTATCACCCCTGATATTATCTACTCTTTCATGATCTAGTAAGTATTGAATAGCTCTTCTTGTTTCCTGTTCTGTTTTCCCTTTCACCGGAATGCAATATAAATATCTTGTGTTAATGTTAATGGCAAATAAATAAGTAACGTTTCCTTTTGAATATTCTAAATGATCGATTTCGTATGAATATGGATATGGTGAAAATGAAGGGCGACTAAATTTTTCCTTTAACGGTTGAATTTTTGGGTCAGTTGGTTTATTTAATATCTTGAAACCCTTTTTAAAATCTTTTTGTTTCTTTAATGTTTGAAATGGATATAATAAAGTGAATGATGAAGGATTAACTGAAGGAGGAGGTACTACTGCTGGAGGAGGTACTACTGCTGGAGGTTTTGGTGTTGTGAGTGGTTTAATTTTATCTGCTTTGATTTTGGATGATGATGTTGTGGAATTCATTCCACCTTTCATTAATTCCGGATGTATTCTATTCATTTGTTTTAAATATGTTGTATATAAAGGTTTGATATACTTTCCTGCTTCGAGTTTATGTTGAAGGATGAATTCCAAAAGTTGATCTTTATTTAAAAGTTGGGCTGAATGTGGTTTAACTAATGAATCATAAATTAAAGCTTGTGCATCATTTTTGGTCTGAAGGACCTGGGCGTTTTGTTTCTTTGTTTTTTGTGGCTCAGGATTATATAATTTATATAATTCATCAATATCTTCTTCTGTTAATACTTCATTTTTGAAATCTTTCAAATGTTTAAGTTGTGATTTAGTTTTTCCTTTGTATATTCATTATTTTTAATTTTATCTTTAATTTTAGAAATTATTTCATCATGATATTTCAAAATTCATTATCATAATATGAATAATAATAATCTATATCATCATCCGTTATATTTTCATCATATTTTTGGAGATATGCTTTTAAATCATAATAACTAAGAAAATTTTGATCACGTACTAAATCATCAATTAAATTTTCTAAATCTACGTTATCCATTTATATAAAAATAAAATAAATGTTTTAAGGGTGCCCACCCCTTTGATCAAGAATCAAAACCATCATTCAACGGTTCCTTTTGTCTCTTCTGTGGCATTTCATTAAATAAATGGCATACAACATCCATTTTCACAACATACAGCCTTAGTGTGTGCTCCTGTTAATGCAGTCTTACCGATTGTTAAGCGAGTCATTGACCGTTTTTAAGTTGTAAATTAATATTCTGACCATCAAATATCACTTTATCATTTATTATATCCAAATAATTTTTAGGTGTTAATTGTTTATTTTGTCGTAAACTAACTCCTTTCATTTTTTGTGCAATCTTTTTAAAATCACTTCCATCAATTGAACCGTTGAATGATGTATAACACTTAGGGCATAAAGCAACCATGTTATCGCCTTGTTTCTCAATTGCTAAACCCAATAACTTCTTCTCATGTGCTTTTTCTTCAGCTTTATTCTTTAATTTAGGTTTAAATTTCTCATCAAAACAAAAGAAATCAAAAGGTGCGAATTTGTAAATGTTTTTATCATAAAATTGTTTATCGGTAACAATTGCTTGAAATGCTTGAGTGTTAGGAAGATTTGGATCACCAGCGATTGCCCAATAAGATGAATCAGTATCACCTTCAATGAAATGAAAACGATTAACATTCATGCATTTATACATAAAATCATAAATGAAAACCAAATACCAGTATTTAGCATTATCTAAAGTGAAGAATGCCTCTTGTAAACATGTTTCACATCTATAAAATCTATCTTTGAGCATCATTTGATATGTATCTTCACCTATTTCTCTTATGTTTTTAAACTTATTTGACATACATGCAACGCGTGCCTTCTGTGCATTCATATTTTAGTCTTTGGTAATTTTGTGTATTCATTGCATCGTAACCATATGATCCATTAAGTGAAATCTTGCAAAATAAACTTTTTCCTTTATTTCCTTCTAATTCAGCCTTTTGTCTTTCATTCATAAATTCGTTCGCAAATTCATTAAAACAAGTGTTTTTAGTAAATGTTAAAATTGATTGAATATCATCGATGATAAAATGAAATTTGTCTATTAGATACCAAAGATAATAAGAAGAAAATGGTTGATATTGGTTGTGTGTTGATGCTAACTGAGTTAATTTACTCTGTTTCTGGTCAACTGGTAGATTGTTTTTTCATGTAATTATACATAAAACTGCCAATTGTTTTTTCATCTGTGATAATATCTAAGTTTCTTATTATCGGTAAAAAGTTTATGTAATCATTAATGTATTTTTCATCAATGTGACCCTTTACTTCAGCCACGAATAAAGTATTTTTCTTTCTAATAATTCCCAGTGCTTTTGCTTTCTTTGTTGCTGTATCACAAATGATAACACCATTCAATCTTCCCGGCATATACATTTTATGGTCAGTATATTGAATGAAATCATGAGGATTAGATGAAAATGATGAAGGATATAATGAATTAAAATCAACACCAACGAAATGAGTCATAATGTTGGTGGTGTCCTCATTTGATACAGTTTTAGTTTCTGGATTATATGAAAGTTTATTAATGTGCGTGATTCCTTTAAGATTTACTCTATGTTGAACATTTGATAAACCACCAGTAATTCCATTACGGAGAATGTGATAAGCTTCAACTGAATCTAAAGTCATTGGTAAATTATTTTTTAATGCATAATTTCTTAAATTGATTCTTAAACGTTGAACATCTTCATCTTTATTTGATTTTACGACATTGCAATAACAACACATTAACTGACAATTTTCTTTGGTATGTGGTTTTTCATTATCGATTCTATCTAATGTTGGTTTATTTGCATATGTAAACGCTTTACCACACATTTTGCATTTAGATGAAAGGATTAAATCGTGATAGTATTGAAAATCATCCATTGAAACATTATTTTTAGTATCCCTTTCTGCTTTTTCATCTTGTTTCTTATATGATTCAATTTTATATTTCCAATACTTTTTCGTTAATTCAAAACTTGATTCTTTCTTTTCCTCAGGATATTTTTCATTAGGATTAAAGTCTTTATATGCTAAAGCGTAACGAATCATTGAAGCATTCGATGATAAAGAAAGATTATGAAGCATGTCAATTTTATAAACAAATGTTTCTTCGATAATTTTATCAATTGGGTCAATCATAATTTCAACGTCTTTATTGCAATAATGAATAAAATATTCTAATCTATTCTTAAAGTTTTTAGCATCATTGAGATATATTTGATAATCACTATCTGATATAGTTTCTTGAGTTAATGCTGAATAAAATGAATCTTGAGTGAATGGTTCCACTTTATATAATTCTTCTTCGTAATTCTCCCATGTGATGAATTGATAAGGGAAAAAGGATTTAACACGTGATTTATTGTTTCCGAAATCTTGAGTGAATTGGTCTAATGTCCCACCCGCTATATAATTTCTGATGTCAATAAATCTCAATTCATATGGAACGTTTGTTTTCTTTACTATGACTTGCTTAAATTGAGAAGAAGAACCCAGCATTGATTTTATTTTCCATTTTGCAGTGTTTAAATCATGAAGAATTAAATTTAAATCAAACTTTCCTGAATTAAAACCTATGATATTCACTTTATTGAATTCCTCATCTAGAAGTTCTTTAAATGCTTCCTTCTGTTTTTCATTTAATGTATGGGACAAAGTCCTCGCCGTTTGGTCCGTTTGCGACTTCAATAATTCTTCATATCGTTCAATATTTGATTTAGCAACTAATGAACAGGTTGAAAATAAAAACTCAATCCAATCAGAAATAAAAGAATCACTCGAAGTTAAGCAAAAATTCCTCGTATATGTTTTATCATTTAATTTAACTGTTGATGATACCATGAATGGTTTTAAGTAAGCATTCAAAGTTGCACACTCAGAAAGTTGTAATTCTTCTTTAGTCTCTAATGTTTCGAAGTCAAAAGTAATATAATATCTTGTCGGTTGATAATATTCCTGCAAATTGTGAGCTAATAACCACTGATATATCTTCTGTTTCGTAATATGTGGTGCATATGGTTGCTGTGTCTTTTGCAACTGAACGTCTTGAATTAATCTTCCATTATTTTCTTTACATTTCTCACAATGCTTTAAAAATCTTCTTTGGTTTTTCCTTTCTGGATCATCACGGATAGAATACTTCTTCTTTGCAAAAGGGGCAAACTTTATATCCTGTGAGTGCTTCAACGTCTGTAATTCTGTCAGCGTGAAGTTTTCCACATGGACTCTGTGTTAATAAAATATTTACTGTTTCAAATTCTGGATCTATCATTATTGATTCCACTAATGGAAAGTCTACCTTATTTATGTCCACATCTTCTGGTTGAGGATCGCAATAATAGAAATCAATATTAACATTTAACATTCTCGCTAATCTCTCACTTTCTGATGAAATGTCAAACCTTCATATGCATCTATGGCTTCATTTAAATAACTTCTACGAGTTTTAGGATTAACACCATCAGGAATGTTATAGAAGCGTTTAAATAACCTTCTACCTTCGCTCTATTTGATTATCATTCATTTTAGCTGTTCCGTTTTTGTTCATTTATGTAAGAATAAATAATTAAAAAATAAATAAAAATAAAGTTTATTTTTTTAAAGTCCGAGACTCAGAGAGTCCAGGGCTAAAGTCCATAAAATGAATTAAGAACACATAAATTTTTATCATCTGCGACGTGACGAATACATTTTAATTTACTCAAGAATGCGTACCCTGATACATTAAATCTAATTCCTGTCTTATTTAATTTCACAACTTTGAAAAGGAATGTATGAATAGCTATAAAATGATGAGATGATGTTTTATGGGTTGCTTCCATTTTTTCTGAAATAAATGAATAAATATAATGTTTATAAGTTTTCATATCTTTTATGTTCTTAATAACGAATGGTATAGACCTTTCAACTTCGTCTTCCTTCGGTGCTGTTCTTTCATATGAAACATTATTGGTATCTTCAATAATGAAACCAATCACACAAAATTTTATATGTTCCAATGGTTTCTTTTGATATTTTATCTAACAAATCAAAAACTTTATCAACACCTGTACATTTATTTAAATAATAATTTGTGTAAATATCATGATCTTCTTTCTTAATCGTATTAGTTGCATATGTCACGTTTTTAAGAGCTTTTTTGAATTTCTCAGAATCAAGAGGAGGTGAAAGTAATATACATGGATAATCTCCATTATCAATAAATTGTAACTTATGTTTACGAATAAATTTAGTACCTTCTTCTGAAAGTGTTTCATCTATTTCACCATCTAATAAATTTTGTGTTGATTCTGAGACATAATTTTTATATCTTTCTTCATGAGATTTCTGAACTTCTGATTCTGAAGCTGGGATATTCATTAAACCCTCTACTTCATTTTCATTATATTTTTCAACTTCTCTTAATTCCTTAATTTTTTCATCTATTTCATCTCTTATTTTTTCAGTCTTTCAATTTCATTGTATTCATCATCATCTTTAATCCGTTCTTCATAATATTCAGGGAAAACATCAGGTTCTTTAGGTTTTTCTTCTTCAGATGTGGGATATAAGAAATTTATAACATCATCTTTATTCATTTTTCCATCATAATCTAAATCATTTAATAACTCGGCAAATTTTTGACAATTTCTTAAATAATATTTACTAACTTCATAACACATCTCATCTAATATATCCTTTATTTCCTCGTTTGTGAATCCTAATTTTTTAACGTCGTTAGTTTTGACGCTCATTTCATACGAATTAAAAATAAATTATTCAAAAATGTAAGACATGAATTTTTAAAGTTTATTTTTCATTCATGAAAATAATTAATTAATCGTGGAATATCTGACATCATCTATATATAGCTTCTTTTATAAAAGATAATAAATAAATTATTTTAAAATTAATCGCGGAATATCTGACATCATCTATATATAGCTTCTTTTATAAAAGATAATAAATAAACAATGTTTAATTAATCGCGGAATATCTGACATCATCTATATATAGCTTCTTTTATAAAAGATAATAAATAAATTATTTTAAAATTAATGTTAATTTTTTAAAATGTGTTTATTTCATTATGTATGGGCTGAGTGTAAATGTCTTACAATTTTGAAAATTTTTTAAATCTTGATTTATTCAAAAACGTAAGAATAAAAAACCGTCAGAATCATACATTTTTTACTTCATATGTTAAAAAAAATGATACAAAATCGCTCGATATTGTATGAATTCTTACGTTTACAAAAAAAGTCACACAACCCTTCATATACTACTACTAGTCAAGCTAATTTAACCTGAGTTCCATCTCAATTCCAGATTTATCGTGGACTTATAGTGGTCATTCTGCTAGTCTTGTATTCAAAATTTCAATAAATTCTATAAAATTCATCCAGAAGAATTTTTATAAAATATCCTCTTTTGAATAATTAATTCAATGCGTGACCATTTCAAAGCATACTAGGTTTTATCCAATAATAAGTTATTATCAATATTCATTTTGAAGAACAAATTACCTATTGCATGTTTCAAAATTAGTTTGTAAACCAAATATATTAAGGGAAAAAAAGCCAAACAATTTATCAATATAAAATAATGAAAAATATAATTTGCAAATCGAAGACAAATATAAAGAATCTATGCTGCGAAAAGTTCTAAAACATTTTCACATTTAGCATTCTTTATAAGGAAGTCTGTTATATGCTGAAGTTCGTTATCTTCTGGATTTCCATTAAAATCTTGAATAGCGAGGCCATTATAAGGCTGGAGCATATAGCAAGATGGTGAATTGTCAACAATAATGACCTTTCTCAAGTCTCGACCTAATAATGAGAGATCTTTCACAAATGTGCCATTATATATGATGCATGATTCTCTATATAGCCTGTATTTAATCAAATGATCAGGGTCTATTCTGTCAAGTATGTAATCGCAGTAGTTTTGCCTTGCTGTTGTAAAAGCAACTAATTCGAAGTGTTTTGACAGGGTTTTCAAGAATTTCTTTAATCCAGGACGGACAGAAACATAAATATCATATGTGATGTCATCGTTTGTCATTGAAAAATGAAAATCATGATGAGGATCGTTCTCAAAAGTGCTGTGAATAAGGGTTTCATCTACATCGAGCACAAGGGTAATCTTTTTATGATCTTTTGGATCTTTCGGTGGTAGTAAATCCATAGATTTATTAGCAATCTGTGTGTTAGTAAATTTTTTCCAAAAAATGTTTTCAAATTTCCAAATAGGAAATATGAAACAAAAATATACATACTGAGTACTTAGAATATGGGGTACTTCTCGTTGGATAAACTTTTTGTTTTGCACAACAAAAATCGCAGCAAGAAGTAGGTTGTGGTGGAGCACTGTTAGCAATACTAACAACAGTAAGAGGAATATTATCAATATCCTGACCAGTAAATGTCAAGGTTTCGATTGATTCTGTTAAAGTTTCTGTGACTTTACCAGTTATTGAATCTTGATAGTATGGATCGACTGGATCAATACCTCTAATGCCATTAGTTATCTTGATATACGTTGCAGCCCTATCACGGCCGAAAAGGACTTTTACAAGATCAATTTCGATGTCACGAACTTTATTTAATGACAAGCACAAGTTCTCTGTAGCATCACTGCTAGATGAGCTGGAATCTATTTCGTCGTCTGTTAGATTTCCATTACTCATCTGACATCAAAATCTATTTTTTTTTTCTGCTAAAATCTTTCTTATAAATTGTTCGTTTTTAGTAAAAGTTCCTTTCAAAAATATCCCTCAATATGTACGTTCCTGAAATTTATAAAATCGGTAAACAAAATAATATTCACATGCACTAATATTAATGAAATTTCAAAATTTACTGTACTTTCTAAAAATTCAAAGTGAAATTATTTTTGCGGGACTATATCATCGATAAACATACTGGCTTTTGCGAAAAAGGGGGCTTTCTTGCTGAAACACTTGCGACAAAAGAGAGAGCTTTTATGAGCGTTTCGTTTTTGAGTTTAGGTAATAAAAACTCTCTAGAAAGAGCCTTCGCTAACATCATTAACAAGACTCATATTATCCTCGATTAGGAATAGACTTCATCTGATAGTAATAATACGGGAGATTATGAGTTGAACATTGATATTTTAGAATCATTCAAACACATTAGGGAATAACAAATTATAATGTCTTACAATTGATTGTTTCATATTATGTCTCTCAACTCAGATCTAATATTTGACTTTACCCTTTATTTGGGTGAATATCTAATGAATTGTAAATTATAGTCTATTCAAATAAGATGACTCTATAGACTAATTATTTTTAAACTCATGGTCAGGGTAGGCCATGTATTTTGGTATGATTCAAAGATTTGTTTCAAAACATTAAGAATAAAAAGATTATTTTCAAAAGTGATGATATTGTTAATGCCTCCAACTATCTTTTTTATTACATTCAAAAGATTTAAATCATTTTTTTTCTGATGGATGCAATTCCTATTGTTCTTGATTGTGGCGGATCCATTATAAAAGCAGGATTTGGCGGTGATTCAGAGCCAGGAATTGTATTTCCATCAACTGGGCCGAAATTAAAGAAAGACATTGAATCTGGTTTTGATGATAAACGATATATTTCAAAATTCGGTCCTACATTTAGATCTCCGATAGAAAACAGAGTCATTACTAACTTTGATAATATGAAACGAATTTGGCAAGAGCTTTTTACAGAACAACTTCAAATTCAACCAGAGCAACATCCATTCCTCGTTGCAGATTCAGCTTTAAATTCACTCGAAAACAGACAGCAAACACTACAAATATTCATGGAAGAATATAACGTACCTTCATTTTGTCCAGCATTTGCCTCTTCCTTAGCATTATACAATGCCGGTTATACATCTGGAATTGTTGTTGATTCCGGTGAATCAAATACTGACATCATTCCAGTATTCGAATGCTTTACATTAACTCATCTTGTTTCTAGACTTGATGTCGGTGGCAAACACGTTAGTGAGTATCTTAAAAAACTATTAAATCAGCAAGGTATCGTGCTCCCAGGACCTACAGAAAGAGAAATCCTACGCGAAGTCAAAGAACAAATTGGATTTGTTCGAGGAGATCCATCTCCATCAGATGATGAAGAAAAAATCTTCCTTACACATGATGGCATACAGTTATGTATCGGAAGACCAAGATATCAATGCACAGAAGTCATGTTTGACCCGAATCTTCTTGGATTACAATGCCAAGGAGTCCCTAAGGCAATTATAGATGTTCTTAAGGTATCAGACCAAGATATAGTTGATGTTTTAGCTGATAATGTATTGTTATCAGGCGGAAATACTTGTATTCAAAGATTTACTGATCGTGTTGAGAAAGGAATTCTTATTCATAACTCAACACAACTAAAAGTGAATGTAAACTCTCCTCCAAATAGAAGATTCGCAAGTTGGGTTGGAGGTTCAATTTTATCATGCGTTGATACATTTAAAGATCTGTCAGTTACAAGAGAAGAATACCAAGAAACAGGTTTATCTATCCTTGAACTCAAATCTTATTAAAATATTCTTTGTTAGTTATTATTATGAACAAAAACTCTATTTTTTCTTGAAATTAAGCAAATTAGCTGCAAATTCTAATAAGTTTAAATGAGCCAGTTAATGCTTAGAAATATTTTCTTAATTCTTTCTTTATGCAAGGCAATTGATCAGTTTCGATATAACTCCTATATATACTTTTGAAAGAAATTGCATTGTTTTGCTTATATTTTCCAAAGAATAGCAAATTCACTAAAATATTAAATCAAAATGATGGTTTTAATCAATTGGTGAAGGAATATCTATTGATGTGTCTTCGTTGAGCTCAAACAAGTAGTTTATTCAATGTGGTTGATATGATCTGAAGAATAAGGATTACAAATAAATTTTCCATTAATTAATCCGTATCTTCTCAAAATTTGAATTTTTTATTCTGTTATTTCGGAATCAAAAACAAATACCCGATACCTAAAAATAAAAAATTATTCAAATATTTTTATCCTGTCCTAAATATTATTATAAATTATTTTTCTATCCACATTCATCGTAATCTAAAAAGTCACTTTTTCGAGGATGAATTTAGGTACTAATTTTGTTTTAAATCAAAGTTTTAAATCATTAAATAAACTGCTAGCAGCCGGAAAATATGATGAAGCAGAGGCTAAACTCGAAGATATATCGAATTCGCTTTCTACTTCAGATTTTGATCCAAAAAACAAAAAAGGTACCTTGTCTCTTCTTTTAAACAATTGTCTCCCATTAACATCTCACGAAAATCTCAAAATACGCTTACATGCACAGAATATTCTTAACCATTGGTCTTCACTTGTAACATCATTTTTGCCTAAGGTACTTATTGATGCTTTTGCTAATATTGATGCGTCCCAACTCAAATCCGAAGCGCACGCGGCTATATTTACCTTCTTTACTCATGCTTTGCGCTGTCTTCAACACGATAATCGTCTTGAATATCTCGGCATTCTTCATTCTCTGTTGCTTTCATCAAAACCGGACCTACTTGTTGGAATATCAATTAATATTTGGTCTTTGTTGAGAGAAACCTTGACGATTTCAAATATAATTTCAATTTTACCAGTTTTAATGAATTCTCCGCTTGCAGAAGAAGTAGCATTCCTCTGTGAGAAGTCACCCGACCCTCTTTACAATACAATTCTTGCAAAAGCAAATTTTGAATTTATTAAACAAACATTACAATACTGGCCGTTAACAAAGCACGTAGATTTATCTATATTAGCACCGCGTTTGATTACAGCCTTTGAAAGCAAGAATTCATCAGAAATTTCCACTGCAATCGAAATTTTAACTCAATTAGTACAAAGAGTCAACAAACTATCCGAACTTGACTACAAAGAGCAATGGGGACAATTAATAACTCATTGTCAAAAGCTTTGGGAGGGATCTGCAACGATTGCTCAAAAAGCAGCGTTAATTGACCTTCTTTCTGCAGTATCCTTCATTCCGAACTCACATCTCGAGAGTTTACTCATCTTTGACGAGAGTATTCCAACACCAATCAAAATTTCAATCATAAAACTTTGTTCTCACTTCATTCGCGACGGCAAGATACCTAAAGGACTCTTTAAGTTCATAGAGGACCAGCTCGCACAACGAGATCCCCTTATTTTCGTAGCAATTCTCGATTTTCTCGCAATATCATTTAATGATCTCCACAAATTATCACCACAGCGCACAGAAAACATCTTAAACCACGCTCTTACACCATTATCACAATACTTTGTTGAGCAAATTTCAATTCTTCACCTTTTACAGTCAATAGATTACAAAACTACAGGAGTTAAGATAGATATCGTCTCAATACTGCTTAATTTCCTCAATAACCCGCATCCTTCTTTGATCCCTGAGCTCAAAAAGACAGTACAAGATTTAAATATCAACTTACCGCTGACACAACTCGATTGGATTGGAAGTGGAACGATGATTCTGCAGGTTATATCCAAATGTGACCCTTCTTTCATCAACGAACTGATCGAATCTGGAATTGTTACTCCATCATCGTATTCTTCAGCGGTAGAGATCATTATTAACAACCTTCCTACAGACAAAACTGCCTGGATTTTCGCACAGAGGGCTCTGTATGTCGTAGGAAAGGCTTTATCCGTAATTGGTCAAGATTATATCGTAAAACTTAACAATTTATTCTCGAAAGAGTGGAGATGCATCACTGAACCAATACCAGAATTGGTAAAGGTCATCAATAAGAACCTCAAACAAACTGTTTTCGGAAGTATTTTATTATCTTCTCTACAACTGTTTGTAAGAGGCATGGAATACGGTGAATATCACTTCCAAGACATAGAAACAATGTATTCCATAGCTATTGATATCGCTCCAGCTTTCTGTGACGAAGCTTGCAAGATTGCAGTTTTTATGCACCATACTTTTAGAGCTTCTAAAGATAATGGCGACAAAAAGAAAGAGAAGAGAATGATTGAACTTGTTACTAAGTTCTTTTTTCAAATGCTGCCGTTCGATTGGTCGAAAGAAATTACAGAAGCCGCATTAAACTGTATAACTCGACAAGACGTTATCAAATACCTTCCAAACCATGTAATAGAGAGTTGCCTTACTTCCCCGGATATTCTTCAATGGTATTTGGGTGAAAATCCTAAGGAAATGCCCCCTATTTCCCCTGTTTTCATTCAAATCGACGATAAAGACGATAAAACTCATAATTACATCACACGGTGTATCAAAGAATTACCATTTAATGAATGGAAATTAACTGATTATTCCGGAAAAAAGATCGAAAAAATGCAAGGAATAGTTGTTCCGAGTTACGACCAATTGGATTATCAGCATCGTAAGCTTGTAGATCAGTATCCTGCCAGTTTTGTAATCCAGCAGCAGAAGAAAGAGCGTAAGGATATCGATTTCAAGCTAGATGTCACTTTAAATGTCCAAAAAGAATTTAAAGGCGAATTTAAGGGGTATGAATCGCAAGAAGCCATTCTCAAAGGAGAGACATGCGAATTTAATTGCTCATTCAACCCATACCCACATGAAGAAAAGCCTTCTTTAGTCTCTTTGGTCAACTTCTTGTGGTTCTCATCTAGAAAAGTGACACAAGAAGACTTTACAACTATTGAAAATTCTTTATTACCATTTGCAAGTCGTCCACGTGTTGCAGCCTCATTTATGTCATATGCATTGAGGCACAACATGCCAATAAAGGCATCAGAATGGGCTTCTTTAGTCAGATTGGACGCCAGAAGTGATTCTGATCTTATTGCCTTCGGATGCTTGACTTTGCTTGGAAATAAAGATGCATCAGAACCAGAGAAGCTTCTCCGAAAGGATATTTCCCAGTTATTGGGTCTTAACTACGATGATGCAACAGAATTTGCAATTAAAGCTTGTTTACTCGATAGCGCGAAAAGATTTGCTGCCGATGCGATTCTCTGTAGTGAAAGAGAACGATTCGCTGATGTTCCATCCAGCCAAATCGTCATGAAAGACAAAGAAACAATAGTTGAAAAATTTGATGAAATTATGTCACTTTTCCAGTCACCTTTTGCTTCTTCTTCCATGTTAGCCATATCGTCCATGTTGTTTGAGCATCAGATTGACTCTCCATATGTCAACTTTGATGTTCCTCCCAATATTCCTAACGTCGGATTCCTTTATAAACCGAGAGTTGGAGTATCCAAGCCACAACAAGACGAATTAGCACTGAATGCAGCTGAAAAGTTCGTCAATGCATTCTCTGATGAGAATTCTTCAGACGAATTCCTTCCAAACATCATTGCTGCTTCAAAATTATCTGATGATCAGGTTTCTAAGTTCGTTCAGTCGATAAATAGGATAGGAAAGTCTCACAGATTGTCTTGCTTGAGGATTGCCGTCAATCCTTTCGAAGAAAACGCTGAAGATGATCTGAAATTATTGGAAATTCTTCCGCCAAGCTATTCTCGTGAAGTATTGGTTAATTTCATCAGAGCAAGCACGTTGTCTTATGCAAATAAGGACCATATCAAGAAATTGACGAAGAAAATAAAACCAATTTTCACAGAATTGCTTCCAAGTGGCGGATCCAAGATCAAAAGAGACATCGGATGCAAGAGATTAAAGGCATTCGAAGAAGCAGGAGCGTTCTGCGATCCTTTGATACCTTCTATGTTCGAATTCGCAAAAGAAGCAATGCAGAAGTGCGAAACACATACTTTGGTATCTATTCCAAGGATTCTCATGCATACGAAGCAAGAATTGTCGATTCTTTTCGATAAATCTGGAAATAAATCTGAGATATCACCTCAAACTCCAACGAAATCGAATGATTCCGACAAATCACCATCTAAAACAGAAGATACATCAACTGAATCCCCTCAAAACTCTCCTCAAAAACCAAATCAAGAAAATTCCGAAGAAAAAATTGCAGAAAATGAAGAAGAAAAGCCAAAAGAAGCCGAAATCAATGAAGAACAAACTGTTAACGAAGAAGTTAACGAAGAAACTACAGAAAATAAAGAAGAAATTCCCGAAGAAGAGAAAATCGAAATAAATTCTTATCAGGAGTTCTCCAAATTGGCTTTAAGCATTGCCGTTTCAAAGTACAGATACATGTTTACTGTAACAGCCCTTGTTAAAGCTCTTAGAGAGAAATTAACCGAAGATGAGCTTTATGAAGCAGTAATTTCCAAGAAATTATATCAGAGAAGGAATATTGCTGCTATTTATATCATTTGCATCCTTAGTTTCCCATCAAAGAAGAAAGAATTTTCTGAATTAGTTACATCTTCTATTTTGAATGAAGCTTTGGCCTGTGAAAACAAGACACAGGGCTTAAACATCATCCTTCAGCATAATATCGATGAAGAAATCCCAGAAGAGGAAGAAGAATCCGAAGAAGAAGAAAAGAAGGAAGAAACTCAACAACCGCCAGAAAATACTAACGATGAGACACAAAAAATTGAAGAAAATGATAAAAAAGAAAAAGAAAATTCCGATGAAGATTCGGATATAGCTATTAAGAACTATTAAAGTTCTATTTATATGTTTTATGTAATCAACAATTTTATATTAAATGCTTTTGTTTTATTTTTTTATTTAATCAAAAAAATTATTTTTCATCAAAAATTATTAAAAAAATAGATTTGGAAGTGTAATTATATCTTCTTGGATCATGGAAAACTCTCCTGAAATGCTTTGGTAATTTGTGTCATTATATAAAAAAATAAAAATTCGATTCGAATTAATAGTTGTTAATATTGATAAGATGAATTTATCTACTTATGTATTACTTCATAACATCATATCTATCCAAAATGAAGTCAATTAAGATAAAAAAAAACAATACTAATCAATTTTTGGATTACACTAGTTGTATACCGCTTAAATATTATATACAATATTACTTTATCATCCTAAATTCTGAAACTCTTTTTGTAATCATAAAGAATATCAAATTGCAAGTTAAAACTAATATTTAGATATTCGTTTTTCAATTGATTGTAAACTAAAACGAGAACCTTGCTTAGATTACTCGTTTTTGCAGGCTCTTTATCCAGAATGTCAATACAACATCGTGAATTTTAAAATTTAAGCTATTAATACCTATTAAAAGTTGTTTTGTGAATCATACTAGATAGTATCCAGGAATGATGCAAATTTTAGTTATCAGCCACACTCCATAAAAAAAATTGAATAAAATAATTGAGAAAATTCACAATTGTATTATAATGATTTCAATCATATTGTTTCAATAAATATTTTAATGAATGAATGAAAGAATTAAGATCATTAACCTTTAACCGTAATAAATTTTGCAAATTACCTCAGACTTTTCAGAGGATTGAGTTGCCACTCAATCCTCTGAAATAGTCTGTGGTAATTTTTAGTCTCTACACTATTTCAATATAAGCTCCATTTTTAAACAGTTTTTAAAAATCGAGCATTGAAAAGTGTGATGAGACTCTCATTTTTTTTAATAATGAAACATGCGGCATATACCATATATATATCAGAATTAACATTTAAAAAATATTTACTGTTGTGCGCTCTCAAAACTTTTTCAATCTTATGAATGGGTTTGTAAGAGAAAGATATATGATTATTGGAACACCCTATTATGGTCAACTTTCACCGTGATCTAATAAATGATGTGAAGTTTATTGATGACACATTTGTGAGTAATCAACAAATGAAATCATCCCTTCAAAAATTAATACTCACAAATAAATTTTGGATTTATTTTATTAACTATTATATTCTAAACAAGAAAAGATGATTTTAAATTTGAATTGATCCTCACAAAAATTCAATTTCCCATTATTTTTCTCATTTCATATTTCATTATCTATCAGAGTAGAATGATATTAGATTATTTGGCATCAATGACGACAATATCCTCAAAGGATTGCATTTATCTTCCATTTACAATCGCAGCTTTTGCAATCATGCGTGTCATGATCACGAACCATGTATTGAAACCACTTTCTTTATTAATTGAAGAGAAGAACAGATTCAAATTTGTACACCGTGGTTTTGATTGCCTTCACTACATCACATCTACAATCTTAGGTACTGCAGCATTTTCTCAGCGACCATATGGCCATTGCTCATTTTGGTTTGTTGGATGTGCTGACTATATCAAATGCACTGGTGATACAGTTATCTGTTCAGTCTTCGAGAAAGTTTATTACCTTTATTTTGCTTCATATTATCTTTCAGATGTCTTTTGGATTTGGACAACAAAAGATGTTGTAATGCTTGTCATGCATCACATTGTTTCAATCACAATGCTTGTTTCTTGCTTATTCGTTGCTCGCCACATGGTCGGATTTTGTGTCATGATTCTTTCCGACTGGGTCGACATTTTCTTGTACTCCGGAAAGGTTACAAACTATCTTGGATATAAGAAGCTATCAGATCTCTTGATGGTTTGCTTTGCAACAGCTTTCTTCTACTTCAGAATTTTTGGCTGCTCTCTCATCCTCAAGGCAGTCTTAACTACACATCTTGAGCAGCCACACCATCAATGGCTTTGGTTTGCTGCTAAGTCCGCTTTCGTTGGCCTCTGCTGCTGCAATTTAATTTGGGAATACCAAATTATAATGGCATTGAAGAGAATTTTCTTCAACAACGACAAGATTCATGATACTCGTTCCGACCGTGCTGACGGAAAAGTTCAGAAAAATTAATTTAGTTTTATATTTTGTAAGAACAATTGTTAGAAATTGCCCTTAAAAATTTATTCTATACTTAAATGTTGTTTTTATATTCTCCTTTTAGGTAGAAGCTGTGTTAAGAATGAATTTACTTTTATTTCAATTTGTGTTTATCAAGTTCTCATTTTGTTACTAAACGATTCATTCTTAACACAATGGCAAATATTGGGCCAATTCTATTAATGCTTTAGGAGAGATGGAAACATAATTCAAAAGTGTCATTGACTTGAAAGGCATAAGGCTCTATTCCACTTTTATTTTGTTATTTTGATAATACTACTATGCTATATAGCCTTTTGCATATATATGTCAACATTAACTCATCACCACATATTGTTCTTCTAATTTGAACTATCTTCATATAATACATTGTGCCTACATTCTGATTTTCTATCAGATATTGGTTCCTAAAAAAACAATGATTTATTGAAATTTAAAGGAGTAAGCATTATGGCTCTCATTACTTATAGATTCAAAAATACATAATCGACAATCAAAAATCTGTCTCCAAAATTTAGTGTTTCAAAATTCTGTCTCCAAAAATTTTGATGATCATTTTCGTATGGAAAAAGTGGCAAAATTATCATTTTCGTTTTTTTAAACACTTGAATGGAGCCCCAATATATATATGATGAGCTTATGACTTTATATAGAGATTATGTCAATATAATGAATTCATTGTACAGACTTAAGACTTTCAATGACAATGAAATCGAAAAAATTTACAATGATATTAAATTTAAATTGATTGAAACAAACATAATATCACCTTCTCAGATTTTACCAATTATTAAAACTGCTGCAAAATCCAACAACTACTATTTCAGGTCGTATTGGACATTATTTAAAAAGGTTATTGAAGAATATCAGCTTAAACAAGCCAAACATATTGGATATATTTTCGATTACTTTGTTTTTAAAGAGTATGGATTTTTGTTAGACGAAAAGCACAAAAAGTACAGATCTTCTTACAAAACAAACAATTACAGTTTGGATGTTCACAATGAATACACAATTTTCAGATCAATTATGGATGATGACATAAAGTCATTCATATCTCATATTAAACACAATGATGATAATGTAGTTATTTCATGTAGATCAAATTTCTATATATCCTATAAACATTTATCATTACTAGAATTATGCTGTTATTATGGCTCTGTTAATTGTTTCAAGTTTTTGAGGGAAGAGTTCAAATTTGAAATCAATCATATTTGTTGTCAATTTTCTTTTTTAGGTGGGAATCCAGATATCATCGCTGAGTGTGTAAAGAAATTGGGATGGGACTTCACATATAGGATAATGGAACATGCAATAATTTCACATAACGTTGATTTTTATACATTTTTGAAGAATGAGTACAATATAAAAATTGTACTAGAATATTGCACTAAATATAATAATCTTCAAGCTTTCATAATTAATTTGGATCAAACTCGTGATTATAATCAATGCTTATTTTATTCATACTGTTTTAATAATCTGAATCTGTATGAATATTTACTTAACCATGGAGCAAATATCAATGCAAAAAATCGATGTGATGAAACAGTCTTACATGTTGTAACAAAGGAGAATAATAAAAAAATGGTAAAATATCTCCTTTCTCATGGCGCAGACCCTGATATTCAAGATAAAACCCGTTCTACGCCTTTTCATTATGCCGTAGAAAAAAATGATACAGAATTAGTAGAATTGTTTTTTTACATGGTGCACACGTTGGATTTTTCGACGATTTTGGAAATACACCAATTCATAAGTCAATAGAAAATAACAACACTAAAATTACAAAACTGTTTGTTTCACATGGTGTCAATTTGAGCACAAAAAACTATAGAGAAGAAACAGTTCTTCATATTTCAACGAGGTGCCAAAATAAAGAACTAGTAGAACTCTTCATTTCAAAAGGATTTAAAGTTAATGATCAAAATACTTCAGGAGAAACACCTCTTATGATTGCAGCACAGGTCAATAATAAAGATATTTTAGAATATTTGATTTCATGTGGTTCATCAATCAACATTAAAGATTCTCAAGGATCAACAGCCTTACATATGGCGGCGAAATGGAATAACAAAGAAATTTTAGAACTTTTATTATCTCATGGTGCAAAAGTCAACATTGCAAATAGATATGGAGAAACACCTCTTCATATTGCAGCAAAATGGTCTGCCAAAGAAAGTTTGAAACTTTTACTTACCAATGGTGCAAAAATCACCTTAAAAAATAAACAGAATGAAACGGGTTTTACAATTTTAGCAAAATCCAAAAATATCGAATTAATGGAAATATTTATTACGCATAGTAAGGCCCTCAAGAAGCTTCGTGAGGAAGTAAAAGCTGCTTATTTTGCTGCTGTCAATACAAATAATATTGAAATAGTAAATGGTTTCATTTCTGTTGGTTTTGATCTCAATTCAAAAGATTTAGATGGTAACACTGCCCTTCATATTGCAGCTAAATCTAATTATATTGAATTAGTCAATTTGCTAATTTTGTATGGAATAAAAATCAATGCAAAGAACAATGACTCAGAAACTGCTCTTCATCTTGCCGCTAGGAGGAAGAATATGGAAATAGTAGAAATCCTTGTTTCGAACGGTGCAAAAGATAATATAAAAAACAAATACGGGAATACTCCTCAGAAATTAATGCTGCCAAAAATTGAATAACTAAGAGTAATATGACCATTTCCTTTTTCTTTATTAATAATATTACACTTTCTTACAATTGATTTTGTTTAGAGAGTTGATTTTTTTCTCATTGTTTGAACATTAGATTAGATAAATAAAAACAATAATAACAATTGTCATTCTCAAAAATATTTGAATTGTCACTTTTACGGATTCATATAAAATATAAAAAATAAAATTTGGATCACAACCAATAGGAAAATAATAATATTGGATGAAAATTGCTAAGTAATATTGATGCAACCCACATCACTTGCAGTACATTCGCTTATCTTACATCAGCAAGTGATGGCGGAAGCATTTGTATTAAACAGTTTAACAAACCGATCGAAATCGATCGATGCCTCTTTTATAATAGCTCTGCTGCATCGCAGGGCGGGGCTGTGTATTTATACCAAAGTTCAACCAATTTTTCATCTAATTGTTTTTTCGGGTGTTCATGCAATTCAAAAGCTAATGCGAAATTCGGAAATGCAATGTATATATATCAATCGCAATCAAATCTGAATGAGTCCTCTTTTATTTCATGCTCTCCGGATTTTACAAAATATTCCGATAGTTGTGTTTGTATGAGTGGAGAGAAATCCATTTCAATTTCTTGTAATGGCACCCAAAACTATGGTAAAGAAGGCTCAGGCCTTGTATCCATTTATGATGGTAAGAATGGAACTTTTGTAAAATTTAATATAGTTTACAAGTGCTTTGATTGGTTTTTCATCGAATTTATTCGAACAAATTATAGTGCATCATTTTGTGAGTTTGTTGATTCATCTGGTCAAGATTATTCTTTCTGTGTAGATTCTGCAAAAGCATTTTTTCCAAAATTGTTTATTTATTGATGCATTAAAAAAACCACCTATGCTAATTAGATGGCACGAATATCATTATGTGGATTGCATGTCAAATGAAGATAATCCAAGTTTTATTTATACAGAATGTAATATTTTGAGCTATCAAATAGCACTTTCATATCATTATAATGAATGCAAAATTAATTGTTCAGTTATGCTTGATAACAATCCAATTAATTTTAAATTGCTTTTAGTATTATATTCTCTAACTAATACTTCATCATAATGAACATTTGACAATCTATTATCTAAAGAAATTTATATAATTTGAGTCTGAATACGTGTAATTAAATTTTTGAATTTTCTTTAGGAAAAAAGAAATCAAAATAATTGAAGTTTTTATATACCTTTGGGTATTTCAAATATTATTGGAGTTTATTAAAAACAATCAAATAACAAAGTTTGCCTAATACTCAAGTATTTTGAATTCATTCTCAACAGCAAGTTATGATCATAGAATGTTAAAATTGGTCTTCATTTTATATACAATACAAACTTTTACAGATTTTTAATAAAATTTTGGCTCAAACCGTCAGATCAAAGGATGATAATTCATATTTCTAGTGCAATGAAAGATGCTACTTGTAAAATACAATTATTTATCATTTATAATAATGTCATTCTATTAAGAAAACCGTCGGAACAAGAGTTTGAGAGCAACTAATTTGATAAATAACCGATACGATTTTACAACATCTTTTTAAGCTTAATTTTAATCAATCATTGTAAATACAAATTAAACATTCTTTGGGATTACATTTTTATTTATTCAATATTTTTCTATTAGTTCATTATTTAGCATGCTTGGTGATGCTGTTATTGCTGATGAAACCAGAAAACTTACATATACTAGTTTGAGTATCAATGGTATCCAACAAGATACATTTCTCTCATTTACAATTAAGCAAGTGTTTACTAACAATACAGGTCAAAAAGCAGATATTATATATTTCATTCCCAGTGAACAGCAATTCTGTACATATGATCCTATGTTCATAGTTAATGGGAATGTAATCAAACCGAAACTACGACCTAAAGAGGAGGCCATGAAAGAGTTCAAAGAAGCAAAAGATTATGGATATATGGCAATGATTGGTGAATATGCCGGAAATGGTCTGGATTCATTCGGCTTGGGAAATATTGGCCCTAATTGTAAAGTTGAAATTAACCTGAAAATTACATTCTTGGCTGATATTAATGAAAATGGATACATTTACAAATTTCCTCTTACTCATAAATATCAAAAAGGTTCTGTAACAAATGATCTTCCAGAAAATTTCGAATTCACAATTAAAATCATGACAATGAAAGAGATAAAGAAACTAAATGTTACTGCAAAAGGTAATATGAAAATTATTGATAATCACAACGCAATATTTGAAACAAAAACAACCCCTCGTGATGATGCAATTATTATCGAAACTTCAATCAAAGATGAAGACAAGGGAATTGCTATTTCAAGTGATGGTTATATTGCCATTTCAACATATCCATATTTCGAAGGAAAAGTTGAAAATAATTCGGAATTTTATTTCTTAATTGATTGTTCTGGTTCAATGTATGGCTCACGCATTGAAAATGCAAAGTTTTGTTTGAATCTTCTGATTCACTCTTTACCAATCGATTCCAGATTTTCAATTATTAAATTTGGTACTTCATATGAAGAAATTTTCCCAATATGTGATTATACAAATAAAAATGTTAAAATAGCAATGAGACAGATAAAAGATTTAGACGCAGACATGGATGGTACTGATATTCTATCACCATTGGAGTATGTTTACACACAAACAACGAAAAATGGTTATCATAGAAAGATATTTTTATTGACAGATGGCCAAGTTCATAATTCAGATGTAATTTGTTCATTAGCTCAAGAAAAAAGAGACAATAACAGGATTTACGCAATTGGACTAGGATCTGGAGCTGATCCTGGCCTCATTAAGAATGTTTCCCTAAAAAGTTGGGGTAACTATGTTTTAATTGCTGATAAAGACAATATGAATGAAAAGGTCATTGAGTTGATGGAATCTTCCATTTCTCCATATTTGACTAATATTTCCATACAGAGTGAAAACACAGTGACAGAAATGTGGCCATCACCATGTCCACCTATATATTCAAGAAATCCTCAGAACTTTTTCATCAAATCTCCTTTCGTTGAGAACATTTTGATCAGTGGTTTTGTTGAAAAAGAAGAGATTTGTTTGACCATTCCAGTCTCCAAATGCAATGACAACTTAGGTTTGAAACAGTTGTTCAATCGATACATCCTCGATGATTATGAATCAAAAATATTAGATAGAGTTATTAACCGAATACCATACTTTTATTTGAGAGATATTCGTTCATATATTTCAGAAAGAGTTGACAGTGTTCTCAAAAACGAATGCGTCAAGTTATCAATAGAATCAGGTGTTCTTTGCTATTTCACATCTTATATTGGAGTTGGTTACCAATCAGATATTGACATGAGAATTAATTATGATGCATATATAAGGACACATTGTTTGTGCTCCATTGCCCCTGAACCACCAAATCTTAATCGTGGCTGTGTTAAATCTGGATCTCGCAAGCAATTTGAATTCGATATCAAAAAAGATGATACAAAACAAGATGAAAATAGTAAACACGGGATTATTTCTTACATTCTCTCATGGATAAGAAAAGCACCAAAAGAAATAAGTCCTGAAACTTTGATATCTAATCAAAATGTCGATGGGTCATGGGATAATTTTGATGATATGGATCCTAAGATCAAATCCAAATATGGAAACAATGTTGCTGCAACAGTTGCAGCAGTTTCATATATCCAAAAAGCGTTCAAAGATAACTTGACTGAATATTCTCTTATGATCAGGAAAGCTATGGCATTCCTCAAGAATATTGATAGCGAAGTTGATTGGAATGAAGTTATTAAGAACGCAAATTAAATCATCTGATTTTTATCTTTAATAATCTAATTTGATATAAATTAATTACTATAATTCTTCTTTACAAATTATTTTTAAATTTTATATGGAATTGAATCTGAAGGATATGATTATGTTGTAAACAGAAATTCATCAAAAGTGACACCTCAGAAAAACTAAAATATTGAATTTTTGGAACTTTTGATAGAGCACGTTTTTAAATATTAATTAAAGTAAATGTATATTTTGTAAAGATTCTTTTTAATAAAAAAATAAAATTTTGAAGAAGAACACAAAATCTTCTGAAAAATAATATCACATAAACTCATATTATTTTCTAATATATAACTATTTTATATAAAAATCAAATTCAATGATCTTAAAAGCGAAGGATAAACCTCAAAATTTACGAATATAATGAGTGGGAATATAATGCTTATCTATCATAAAACCATATGAAATATTAATTTTTGCTTTACGCCTATTCCCACTCATTATATTCGTAAATTTTGAGGTTTATCCTTCGCTTTTAAGATCATTGAATTTGATTTTTATATAAAATAGTTATATATTAGAAAATAATATGAGTTTATGTGATATTATTTTTCAGAAGATTTCATTCTATATGCCTATGAAAAGTACTCTCAAAACTAACTTTTTCCTAATTATAATTAAATCTAGAATATTGTATTATGCTTAGTATTATTTCATTTTTCTCATTCAATTTAGAATTTACAAATGTCAAAAAATTGAGAGCTGTCACTTTTGATGAATTTCTGTTTATTACAATTATTTATTTTAATTTACATGAATGTTATAACGTTTCCAAATTGGGAGGGTTCAAATTATCTGACGGGTTCAAATTGGGTTTTGAAGGAATTTGTAAATTCTATCGTACTAATTTGTGAGAATTGGAGGTTTTTTACATTGAAATATTTTTGTCATTGTGTCAAAAATAAAGTAGCCGATTGTAAAAATGGCTCAAAGGGATTTTATTGTTTTCGTGTGCATTTGAAAATTTATCATTAGATCGGCATCTGAACCCGTCAGCAATTTTTGAAAAATTTGGAAACGTTATAAAAAAAATTGTTTGTGTTAATACGTGTGCATTGGCTGTATTTTTGGCTTCCCAAATAATATATAATATTGTGTCTATTTTTTTGGATTTGTTGGTTTTTGATTGTCACTTTTTGCTCATAAAATATAAAGCAAATAAAATTCCATAGGGAAATAATGCTGGATAGAAATTGTTAAGTAATATTAAAATTACTCGTATTACTTGCAGTACCTTTGCTTTCCTTTCATCTGAAAGCAACGGCGGAAGCATTAATTATAAGCTTTCTCAAAAACCTATTGAAATTGAAAGATGTCTCTTTTATAATAGCTCCACTACGATGCAAGGTGGTGCTGTCTATTTAGAGCAGAGTTCGACTAGTTTTTCATCAAATTCATTTTTTGGTTGCTTGAGTAATACCAAAACTGATGGGCAATTTGGAAATGCGATGTTTATATACATGTCCCAGTCAAATCTGAACGAATCATCTTTCTTTTTTTGCGCTCCGGATTATTCTAAGTGTTCTGATAGCTGTGTTTGTATGAAAGAAGAGAAGAGTATATCAGTATCATGCAATGGAAGCAATAATTATGGATGTGGAGGCTCTGGACTTGTTTCTATTTATGATGCGGCTGATGGAACGTTCGTTAAATTTAATAAAGTTTGTCAGTGCTTTGATTGGTTTTTTATCGAATTTGTACGTTCAAACTATATTGCTTCGCATTGTGAGTTTGTTGATGCTTCAGGTCAAGATTATATCTTTTGCGTTGATTCTGCAATTGCAACATTCGAAAATTGTTCATTCTTAAACATTTATAATAAACCAATTTGGCAAATTGGAACAAACAAATATCATTATGTAAATTGTATTACAAATGAAAATTATCCAGATATGACAAATACTGAATACAATCAACCATATATTGGTTAGAGTTGAAGGAAACACAATTTTAGTAAGAGAAATGCAATTATAAAATGCATTGCTGTAAATTGTTGTTGTCGAATTAGATAATGTAATACTTTGTAACTGTTGACAATCTTTAAATAAACTATCTCTAACTATTACAACTTTTTCTGGAAGAACAACATCAACAAGTTTTGATTCTACGAAACAATATGATCCAATTGAAGAAACATTTTCATGAAAAGTAATGTTGGATAATCTACAACCTGCAAAGCAAGAAACGTCAATTTTTTGAACAAAACTTGGGACTACATAATTTCCTGTATACTTAGAAGTAACATAAATTAAAGTATCATTATTTGTTCCACCAAAAATTGATAATTTGTCTGATTTAAAGTTGGAATTCTCAGAATCAATTAGTATTTCATCTAGAAAAACTTTGTAGAAGCATGTACCTGATAATGAATTAACGTTTTTTGGAATGAAAATGGATGTTATTTTTGAACCAGAGAAAGCATTAGATCCAATTATTTCTAATTGAGATTCAGGATTAATTGTAATAGAGGAAAGAGATCCAGAAAATGCACCTCCATCTTGTCCAGTCCATCCATTTATCTTCACTACAGAATTTGGCAAAGTAATTGATGTCAAACCACACCAATCAAAACATCCGCTCCCAATTTCTCTCAGGTTAGGAGGAAGAGTTATTGACTGCAGTTTTTGACATAATCTAAATACAGAATTATTAAGATATGTTAATAAGGTACAATATTGCATATCAACAGTTTCTAGAGCGGATCGATAGAAACAGAAACTGCAAATGTTTTGGACTTTAGCTGCAGGAAAAAATGATAAAGATCTTATGTTGTCTCTGCATTTGGAGAATGGTCCACCAACATTGTCCGATGTAGTCCCAATTGTAATGACTTCTTTTGGAATAATGAGATCTCCTCTAAAATCATCAGGAGCACGGATGAGAACAGTTCCATCATCACTATATTCAATACCATTTTGAACACATAGTATAAAAAGTATCAATTAATCAATAAAAATTCATTTAAAAAAAAGTTAGAATTTTCAAATTAAACTGTGTAAACCTTTGAATTTATTTCAATTTTTGATAAAAAACGGGTAAGATAAGTAGAAATTGTAAAAGAATTGTGTGCAAGAACCTACTTTCGGTTGAATAAAGATTTATAGATAACAAAGCAATTTATTTTTCAGATTTGGGAAAGAGTTTATGTTTCTTATATGAATATTAACATATATGAATAACATGCAAATTCGTGTTTAAATGGAAGTAACACCTTGTTATGCTAGATGATATAAATAAAAACAATTAAATGATTACAATAAGGTGTAATCAAAGCATTATTAAGGTCTCAATTCGAAAATGATAAGATTAAATGGAATTGAAGAAAAATTATTCAGCATTTTCACATACTCAAGTCTTAAGACTTAAAACAACCTTTGTATTCAATTTTTCTTGAAATATATTCTTGAAATCTATTGATTTCATCTAATTACTCAGAAATTGATAATGAAAACATCAATGAATTTCCATAAAAACAAATAAAAATACGTTTTATTTCACAATTAAAAAAAATATAATCAAATAAAAAAATATAATATATTATTTCTTGCCATGTGTCCTTCTCTTTGGACTTGACAAGAGTGGGACGTCTATGTTGAGTCCTTTAGTCTTTCCTATTGTGTACTGAGGTCTAACTCTGACATTTGTTGGCTTCATCTCGATTGGAGAAGGAGCTGATTTCTCTGGACGTTCGTTGTTGTAGAGAGGGTTGTCGCTTGAATTTCTTGGTGACTCTGGGAGAGGAATTGTAGCGAGAACTGATGGTTTCTTTGCTGGAGACACGAAGAAGTCGTCGCTGACCATTGTCTTGTCTGGATCTTCGTTGTCGAAGTTTACTGAAATCTCTGGAGGTTTCGTCAATGTTCTTGATCTCTTTTCTTCCTTTCTGTGGTCGACTAATTTGCTGTCTTTTTCGCTGTCTTCTGATGATGAACTGATCTTGGAAGCCTTTGAAGAAAGACGCTTCTTCATCTGGAAAGAGCTGAGCGATGCAACAGAAATATCATCTTTGTTTCCTTCAACATTCTCTTCTGATGTTGATTCTGATGACTTTGTTTCTTCTTCTGCCTTCTTCGGCTTTTTTTCTTCTGATGAAGATGATGTTTCTTCTTTATTTTTATCTTCTTCTGCTTCTGATGAAGATTTTTCGTTTTCTTGAGATTTGATTCCTTTTCCTTCTTCGGATTCGGTTTCTTTTTCTTCTTGTTGAACTGGTTTTTCTTCTTTTTCTTCCTTAGCTGTTGATAAATCATATGAAACAGACTCTTCTTTATCTGGTCCTGATTTAGAACTTGAACTTTCTTCTTGTTTAATCTCAACTTTTATCTCTTGTTTAGAACTTGAACTTGATTTACTTTGTTTTGGCTTGATTTCCTCTTTTATCTCTTGTTTAGAACTTGAACTTGATTTACTTTGTTTTGGTTTGATTTCTTCTTTGATTTCTGGTTTAGAACTTGAACTTGATTTGTTTGGTTTTTGTTTGATTTCTTCTTTGGAAATAATTGGAGTTTCTTCGTCACTTGAAGCATGTGGAAGAGGAAGTTTATCTCTCTTTCTTGATGCGTGGGATGACATGCTTTGATTGTCGCGTCTCTTTGGACTTCTTGGAGAAGTGATTTGTTTCTTTTCTTCTTCGGAATCTTTTTCATTGTTTCTTCTTCTTGAATTATAATCATTGTCATTATGTCTTGAGCGGCGACTTCTGCGACTTGCGTAGTTATCTGTATCAATGTAGGAATCGTCTTTTTGATGTCTTCTGTGGTGATTTCTACTTCTGTGTCTGTTATCAGAATAATCACTTTCACTTTCGCTATCTGAGTCACTGTCTTCGTAGTGATGTCTATGATGGCTTCTGTGTCTGTGTCTATCTTCGTAATCATTATTTCTTCTGTGTCCATGCGATGATTTGTGATGACTTCTATGTCTGTCTTCATCTTCTGATTCATCGCTATCTGTAATATTGTTGTTGTTGATGCTTCTCGATCTGATGTCGTTTTGTCTTCCTCTTGTTGGTCTACTCCTCTTGTATTTGCTGTTGTTCTTCTCTTTGTTGTCATCGCTGTCTGTCTCTGTGATGTCGTTCTGGCGACGGAATGATTTGTTGTCAAGTCTGCTGTCGTTGTCGCCAAAAACAATGTCTGCGCGAGGTTTGAGACCTTTTGTAACTAGGAAGGCTGTTGGAGGTCCTGAATCATCTGTATCTGTTGTTGTAGGAGCATCTTGCTGATTGACAAATCCACTTCCTTGGCCCTTGGACTTGAGATCAGCTGGTGCTTGTGATAAAACAAAGAGATTTTGTTTCGGAGGAGATTGATTTCGCTTTGGAGAATTCTCTTCAGTAATTGTCTCATCGTTTGTCATGCCTGGCATTGGTACAATCCTGTCTGCCTGGCCAATGGATCTCTGCATTGTTCTGCGTGGAATTCTCTGGTACATTCCTGCTCCTGGAGTAACTTGCATCTGAACATGAGGAGAGAAAATTGCTGGCAACTCTTCGCTGTCTGATGATGACGAAGAAGATTGTGCTGCGGCTGGTTTAGACATCATCATTCTGCCTTGGAATCCACCCATCTTAGGTGCAACGATTTTGGCTGGACGATTCTGTTTAACTTTGGTGTTGATTGTATCGAGAACTTGTTGTGGCCTTGATTTTCCTTCATCGTCACTGAACATTTGAACTTTGTTGTCAACAGGAATGTTTCTTGTGAATAGTCCACCAGAAATCTCTGTTGTTCCAATCTTGACTTGTTCTACCTTTGATTCAGCTTTCTCTTCTTCCTCTTCTTCTTCCTCAAGTTCTTCTTCTTCATCTTCTTTTTCCTCGAGATCCTCCTCTTCTTCGAGTTCTTCTTCCTCTTCGTCTTCTTCTTCAACTTCTACTTTCACATTTCTTGAAACTGTTGGAACAGAAGTGTTGATCTGTGGTGTGTCGTATTTGAGACTTGAAACTGATGATGTGGAAGAAGTGACGTTTGCAGCAGGAATTCCTACATTTAGACCTATTCCAATCTTGTTCTTTCCAGATGAATCTGATTCACTATCTGATGAAGTTGTGAGAGTTCTGCTTGGAACAGTGACATTTGCCTTTGGAACTTCTGTTCTCATGATGAATGGTTGAACAGCATTTTGTTGTATTTTCTGTGCTTTGACGTTGAATTTGATGTCCGCTTCTTCATCTTCTTCGTATTCTTCTTCCTCTGTACTTTCTGTTTCGCTTGTTGATGTTAAACTCAATACTTTCTTCATAGAAACATTTGGAAGTCCAACTTTCAATCCTGGTCCAGAAACAGATGCTGATCCTTGTGGTTGTTGAGAATTAACATTAACTTGTGCATTTGCACTTGGAATTCCTGGTGACTTAACAGCTAATCCTGGTGCTTGTCCATTTACATTAACTCCTGCACCAATATTTGCAGAACCTTGTGATTGAACGTTTGGAGTATTGACATCAAATGATCCTTGTGGAATATCGCGAGTGGAGATTGCAGCTGATCCTTGTGGTTGTTGGACCGAAACATTTGGAGTAGATATTCCTGGGGTGTTGATGTTGACTTGTGCCGATGGTTTCTCTGTCTTTCCAATGCCAAATCCATGGTCTTCTTCGACCTTTGGAGTATCAACTTCAATCTTTGGCTTTCCAATTCCAATTGATGCTTCTCCTTCAATATTTGGTTTGTTGGCATTGACTTGTGGAGCATTGACATTGACGCCAAATCCTGCATTTGGTTTGTTAATGCCACCACCAATTTCTGGAGATTGTGCATTAATTGCTGGTGTGTTGACTTCAACTTGTGGAGTATTGATTCCAATGCCAAATCCAGCGGCACCTGCAGCATTTGGTTTGTTAACTTCAACACTTGGAGTATTGATATTAACTTGTGGATTAACTCCAATTCCTGCTGAGCCACCCATATTTGGTGATTGAGCATTAACATCAACTTGTGGGGTGTTGATTTCGACGTCGGGACTGTTGAAACCAAGCTTTGGTTTCTTACCTTTGATGCTTGCTTCACCACCAATTTCTGGCTTATTAATATCAACTTGTGGAGTATTGACATTGACTCCAAATCCTGCATTTGTATTTGGTTTGTTGATACCAATACCTGGACCTTGAACTTCTGTATTCAAGTCAACATTTGGTTTGTTAACTTCGATTTGTGGAGCGTTAATTCCAACACCAAATCCAGCGGCACCACTATCATTTGGTTTGTTAACTTCAACACTTGGTGCATTGATGTTAACCTCTGGATTAACTCCAAGATTTGGTTTATTAACTCCAACTCCAATTCCTGCTCCAACACTTGGTTTGTTGAGTCCGATTCCTGGAGCAGAAGCGTTGACATCAGCATGTGGTTGCTCAACATCAATTTTTGGTTTCTTAACATTGATTTCTGGTGATTCGACTTCAGGAGTGTTGACATTGAGACCAACTTTTGGTGCATTGATTCCAACTCCTGGACCAGAAGCATTGACACCAACTTGTGGAGTGTTAACTTCGACTTCTGGTGAATTGATACCAATCTTTGGCTTTTTACCGAATAAACTGAGCTTTGGTCCTTCAACGTCATTTTCGACTTCAACATGTGGAGTTTCAACTTTGATTTCTTTATCAGCTTTGACTTCTGGAACATCAGCATTAACATTAACTCCAAATCCTGCATTTGCACTTGGTTTGTTGATACCAATTCCTGGACCTTTAATCTCTGTGTCTAAATCAACATTTGGTTTGTTAACTTCAACTTGTGGAGCGTTAATTCCAACACCAAATCCAGCGGCACCATCCATATTTGGTTTGTTAACTTCAACACTTGGTGCATTGACATTAACTTCTGGATTAATTCCAAATCCTGCAGAGCCACTAAGATTTGGTTTGTTAATACCAATTCCTGGAGCTGAAGCATTAATATTTGGTGCATTAACTTCAACTTGTGGAGATTGGACATTTAATTGTGGATTAATTCCTACTCCTGGAGCAGAAGCATTAACATCAACTTGTGGAGCATTGACTTCGACTTCTGGAGTGTTGAAACCAAGCTTTGGTTTCTTACCTTTGATGCTTGCTTCACCACCAATTTCTGGCTTATTAATATCAACTTGTGGAGTATTAACATTGACTCCAAATCCTGCATTTGTATTTGGTTTGTTGATACCAATACCTGGACCTTGAACTTCTGTATTTAAGTCAACATTTGGTTTGTTAACTTCAACTTGTGGTGCGTTGATTCCAACACCAAATCCTGCAGAGCCACCAATATTTGGTTTGTTAATTCCAATTCCTGGAGTGGATGCATTGACATCAATTGATGGTTTGTTGACTTCAACATTGGGAGTGTTGACATTGATGTCGTGTTTTGGTTTGACTTCAGGAACATCAACTTCAACGTTCAGTTTTGGTTTCTTGCCAAAACCAAAGCCATGTTTCTTTCCTTTGACATCAACATCTGGGACTTCGACTTCGACTTCTGGCTGTTCAACTGAAACTGATGGTGATTGTGCATTGACATCAAGATTTGATTTGTTGATTCCAACACCAAATCCAGCTGCACCACCAACATTTGGTTTGTTGACTTCAATTCCTGGAGCAGAAGCATTGACATTTTGATCAGCTTTAATTTCAGGAGTTTCGACATCAACGTTGAGTTTCTTTCCGAATCCAAATCCTGGTTTATTGACATTGATTTCAGCTTCAGGAGGTTCAACATGAGGTGGTTGAGCATTGATATCAACTTGTGGTTGAACAGAAGGAGCAGAAATACCAATTCCTGGAGTTTGAACATTGATATCGTGATCAGCTTTGACTTCAGGAGCAGAAATTTCAACTTGTGGAGCTTGAACATTGAGATTTCCTTCTAAGTTTGGTGTTTCGTGATTTTTCTTCCTTTTCTTGAATAATCCACCAAATTTTCCTTTCTTTCCTTTGATTTCTGGTTGTTCAACTTCGATTTCTGGGGCTTGGACATTAACATTAGCTCCTCCACCAATTTCTGGTTTATTAACTTCAACTTGTGGAGTATTGACATTAACTCCAAATCCAGCACTTCCTTCAACATTTGGAGTATTAACTGCAATTCCTGGAGCTCCAACACCAATTTCTGGTTTTGGTGCATTAACTTCAACTTGTGGAGTTTGGACATTCAATTGTGGATTTATTCCAACTCCAGGACTAGAAGCATTGACATCAACTTGTGGGGCATTAACTGCAGCACTAAATCCTTGATTAATTCCCATTTCTGGACCAGCAGCATTAATATTTGGTTGATTAATTCCAATTTGTGGATTGACATCAACCTGTGGAGAATTGATTCCAACACCAGCAGCACCTCCGACGTTTGGTGTTTGTACGTTGAGCTGTGGTTGTTCGATGTCGAGATCAGGTTTGACGCCGATTTTTGATTTCTTTCTCTTTTGTCTTGGAATTTTTACGTCAACTTCAGGAGCAGAAACATTTACATTTGGTGTTTCTACTTGTGGTTTCTTAATTTCTCCTTCTATCTCGTGTTCTTCGTGTACTTGTGGTAGTTCTACCTGTATCTGTGGCTGTGGAAGAGTAATGTCTTTTCTTATGTTTAATTTTGGTGTTTCAACATTCATGTCTGATGTTTCTGTTGATTCTGGAAGTAAAATTTCGTGTTCTTCGATTGTAGCGTTTGGAGAATCGATTCTTGATGTCTTTGCATTGAATCCTGGTGCGTGGATGCTAATTTCGTTTGTTTCAACAACTGGTTGTTGTTGATCAAATGTAATTTTGGTTTCTGGATTAACGAATCCTTCTGGAACTTTTCCTTTTCCGAGTTTTCCTTTCTTTCCTTTCTTTCCTTTGATTTCGCCTTCGACATTGACTTCGCCTTCAACTTCAACGTTCGCTTCTGCTTTTCCTTTTCCTTTCTTTCCCTTTTTCCCTTTTTTGGCCGGAACTTCAACGTCAACTTCGACTTTAGGTGTTTCGACGGCCAAAGATGGCATTTCTGTTGGTAGTTGGTTGAGAACTGCCTCGGGAACTTCGATTTGGGCTTCAACTTTGCCTTCTTCTGGCTGAATGTTGTCCAAATTCAGTGGAGTTGTTAATGGCTCGATATCAGTATCGTTATCTTCTGGATCTGGAGGTGCAGGAGTGGCGTAATTGTACTGGCGCTTCCTGACTTTGAGTTCTTTGATCATATCTTTCAACCATGGTGGTTGATCGAAATTTGCTTCGGAATTAAAGTCTGGAGCGTTCTCAAATGTGGTCAAATGCTTCAGTTGTTCCTCGGTGAAGCCATTCGGAGCCTTCATAACGTGTGGACTGTGAAGTGAGGACTCATAAACTGATGAGACTGGAAATTCTGCATGACAGAAGTCTTCTTGGCGTGGAATACGACGGCGACCGATTGGAAAGTTCTGAAGATAACGTTTGTATTGGGTCATATCGTCTCCGTACTCTGAATAATATTCGGATCTTATTATATCATCACCTGGATACAATCTGGCGTTAACTTGAGCCTTGAAATCGATCAATTCGAAGACTTTCTTCTGTATTGTCCTCATACAATCTTCCATTGGAGTTACACAAGCGAAAATTGAAGCTTTCTTTAAGATATAATCTTGGTAAAGCTTGAATATCGTATCAATGTCCTTAATATCTGTCCTATCAACGTACAATTCGCCTAAATGTGGCAAGATCATTAAATCTTTGATATTATTTTCGTTGATATGATGGCCAATCAACGTAACAGATACAAGAGATTGGATTTTGGTAATTTTGGTGACGATTTCAGGGCCAAGCATCGTGTTCTCATCTGATTTTACGCAAATTCCCCATAAAGGAATTCCCATTATCTGCATAAAGAACATATCCGTGGTGCTTGTGACTTTTCCATTAAGGCAGCGAGAGATATCCAAGTATTTAAGTCTTGGACATTTGATGAAATAATTTACAATTGAAGGAATCGTATGAGCTGTTAGCGGATTGCCTGCCCAGCTGAATTCTACCAATTTGTTGGATAGTACTTCTCTGTTTCTATCGAAAAACATCCGAAAATCTTTTTGTGGAATTTCGATGTCACTTAAATCGAGACTGAAATCGATTGGATGGACACTTAACTCATCCATAATCAATTGGAATGATCGTAATGAGAAGGAAGAGCCTGCAAACGAAAATGATTTGATTGATTTGCAGAATTTCGGATCTGGAATATCAACGAGTACAAAGTTTGAAAGAGCTAAATGCGTTAAGTAGTTTAAACTTAAATTTGTTGTTTCAGGAGTAATTTGAATTTTTGGTTGCCACATTGTAATTTCGTATTGAGCTAAGAAGGGAAGCTGATTGACTGCTTGGTAGATAAGTCCGTATACAGCGTTTCCTTCCTTTGGATCCGTTTCTAATTCGCGAATTGTTAAAATTTCAAGAGTTCTGAAGCAATGGAATGTTGTAAGTAATTTTGCGAATTCCTTTGCGCATCTTGCATTCATTCTGCACTTGTTTAACTCTAATCTTTGAAAATCATTTCTTGCAAATTTGAATTCCATCAAAAATTGAATAAGTCTTACTGGATTTGTAAAGCAATGAGTAATGACGAGACTGTTCAATACAGAGTTCTTAATTTTACCAAATCTACCGACTTCGAAGAAAAGATCTTCATAATCAATAAAATGAAGGCATTTGACCGATCTCGAGATTTTAAGTATTTGCTTGATCATAAGACAAACGTTTTGTGGAGAAAAACTCTGACAATGAATAGTATGTAAATTTCCTTCGTATGCGAGTGATAAAGACAATGCTTCGACTCCCTGCGGTTGCTGGGAGAACGAATCTATGTAGAACTGTGTTCTGCATGTGTTTTCGAAGAATTCTAACGGTCGAAGATTTGATGTATCGCGTTCTATTCCTTTCATTTGAGCAATGTTCTTATATCTGTACATTGTAAGTTTGTCGTGACGTTTTACTTCAGGGCATTGTGGTTTTTGACCAACCCATTTTAATAACGCGATTTCATGCGGAACTGAGCATCCATATGAAAATTCTCTAGATGCTTTCAATAGATCGGTGACTATATAATCGATATTCTCACTTGTAAATTCGATTGGTTTTCTTCCGTGGATGTAAAATCTGCGAGTGAATTGATCAACATATTCTATTTGCTCGACATCAAGTACAAAATACTCACCAGAGATCTTGTATTTAGATCCGAAGATTCCTGGACGAAAATAATGAAGGCCTCTTCGTGTCGAGATTAATACACATGGTTTCGGTTTGCCTTTTGAAGATGGAGTGATGGCATCACATCCACCCATGGCACATTTCTCGAACTCAGGTATCAGTTTGGAGACTTTGTCTTTGGCCTCTGTATGATACCTGCTCATTATTCTGCAGAAAAACGGCTGTAGTTTACTATTTTTTTTTCAGTACGAAATATAATATCGATCAATTTTATGATTACTGTTACAACAGTTTGTTGTCCATCAAGAGTAAATTTCTAAAACTATCTTAATTTTGCTTTTTCCATGTTTCAATCTTGAATAAAATTTCTGACAAAAACGACACGTTATTATCTTTATTGGCTGCTAGCACTATGTTCGAAAAATTTAATATAACACAGTCAATAGCAAAAAATGAAAAATTTATTAATCTCAAATGGAATTAATAGGATATAGATATAATATTTAGATAATAGTTGTGCTCAAAAAGTGAAATTTCATAATATAATGGATAAAACGATAAAAGAATTGATTTGAATCAAAAATGTAATGATTTCAACATATTTTAGTTATTATTTTAATAAATGTTAACAATTTAAAACTCATTGGTTAGAAAATGTGCCTTAATAAAACAAAATTGAAAGTGAATAACTAAATTAGATAAAGATCGAGCATTGTAATCAATATGATGTTTGTAAATTTAAGGAAAATAGATAAATATATAGTAATTTAATGTGTAGTTTTTTATATGAAAATTTATATAAAATTATTTCTTGACATATTTGATCTTTGGAGAGTTCCTTCTTCTCTCTCTGCGCTCCTGCTTCTCCTCGAGTCTCTTCTGTTCCTCTGGAGAAAGCTTCTTGTTCTTTTCTTCCTCTTCCTTCTGGCGGCGTTGTCTTTCGGCAATTAAAGCGTTGCGGAGCTTATCGTTCTTCTCAAGCTGATCCTTTGAAAGCTGTAATGTAACAAAAGTGTCAGCGAAGTCCATGATGAAATCAACCAACCTTTCGCAGAGAATTTCTGGATCGTTGAGAATGATTTCGAATCTGGCAACGTAGTTGCTTTCGAGCCTTGTTTCGTAGTCGTTGAGATCTGAAGCTTCGATCATCTGAATAGAGCGTGGGAAATCGGCCAAGAAATCATTAACCTTCTCGATGAATTCCTTCTTGACATCACCGAAGTCTGTGAAGCACTTGAGATGAGGATCTGCTTCGATTTGGTTCATTTTGAGCTTGTATTGATCGAAGAAGTGTGGTTTGTCTTTTGTAATGCGGATGATACCATTTGGCTGTGTCAATGGCTGGCAAATAAGCTCAACTGTAAGTGTTGGCTTACGATTTTGGAATGCAGAGTAAAGAATGCCAAGAGGATCGCAAGAGTATGGATATTCGACTGTGAGGATGCCACCCTGATAGCCTGTTCTTCCAGTGATGTAGCATTTTCTCTTATGAATATTCTCATATTGCATTATTTCTGGAACAATAGCAAAATACTTATCGCGGAATAATGGCAAGCATGTCTTATAGAAATGATCGAATTTAGCTTTCAGTTTAGCTCTGCCTGCGAAAAATGTGATGATATAAAGGACAAAAATACCAGCAGCCAATACTTCACGAAGGGACATAATTTCCTTAAGAGGTACTGGATGTAAAACTACTGGTGTTGGAGTTGGTGTTGGTGTAGGACCGTCTACATTTTCTGCATCATCTTGTTCATCGTTTTGATTTGTAGAATCTGTTGAAACTGTTTCATCTTCAAAAGGAAGATCTTGATCCACTGATCTAACAGCTAATGCTAGAAGGAGGAAAACAATCATTTTAAATTTACGATCTGAGTCACTTTTTTGTCACTTTTGTTCAAAGTCATCAACTCAAAACTCACAAAATAATTGAATTTGAGCATACTTTCTACGACAATTATCTTGTATGTGTGTGCATACTACTATATTTTTATGTTTTTTAAAGAAAAAATCAGTGCAAATTGCGATCACTGTCAAAAAATCGAAGGAGAAAAAAATAAATAAAAAATGGCTGATAGCGAGAAATTAACTGGATACAGCTGCTTCCTTGTCAAGAAAGTATCCCACCATGGAGCACTCATCCTTTACAAGACTAAAGTACAGTTTGCTTATTCCGGTGAAGAAAGAAAAATCGATATTAAGCTTCAAGATATCAAGGCAGTAAATGTGGAAAAGCACTTAGTTGGCGCTGTTAGTAATCTTGAATTGCAACTCGAAGATCAGTCATATTTGTTTTCTGGTATCCATGAAGCTGAGCAAGTTAAAAATTATATTTCATTACTTCAAGCACAAATTCAGAAACCAACGTACACCTTTGGTTTAACCAATGAAGCACCAAAATCAGAAGAGATCAAATGGCAGCCACTTGCTAACCCTACAATTTTAGTTAACTCAACAATTCCAGCTCCGCTTGCCAAAGTCCGCGAAATTGTCGAAGGCCCTGATCTATTCAGTGAACTGTGCATTGCATCTGGAAATGAAGAAGTTAAAGTCTCAGATTTTGAGCAACAAAATGAATATAAAGAAAGAAACATGGATTACATGAAATTGGTTGTCGTCCCAGTTATCGGTAAGAGTCTAATCCATGTTATCGAATACCAGCGCGTCTTTGAACTTGAAGGCGGATTTGGCATTCATATCATCAGCGACTTAGGTAAAACTCCTTATGCGGATTGCTTCGATCCATTTGTACAGCTCTATTTTGCCGATAAAGGCGATTCTACAGAAATGACAGTGTCAATGGAAATTGTCTGGTCATCAGAACCTTTCGTAAAGTCAATTATTGAAAACCAGACAACTTCAGCAATTAAGGCGCTGTACGTCCAATTCAATAAGGACCTTAACAAGCAACTTGGTGCAGATGTTGCTGAAAATCCAGCAGATGAAGAAGATGCAAATGCAGGAGAATCAAAACTCGCCAAAGTCAAGATTATTTACAAGTTTGTCATTATTTTACTTTCAATTATTTTGTTATTATTATTTGTCAACCGCTGCTGGCCAGATAATGGCATCAAATTATCAAAGGCCTTGTTTGCAAAACTTTTGGCTTTCGTCATTTTCATTCTTGTATTACTTTTAATGTAAATTTGTAAATGTTTCATATTAACTACCTCTTTATTTATTTTGCATATAATGGACATCCAAATTGATGTCTGGTGGCATTTGTGGTAAGGATGCATTTACTACTTTCTGACATTCTCTTAATTTATTTGACATCCAAGCTTTTTATCCCAATTTTCTAAGGTAAAAAGTTAATATTTTTGATAGGGAATAAGTTGTTATAAATCATTATATAGTGCCCAGTATAACTGTTATACTATTGATATCGCAAGAGCATGTCAGAAATTGGTAAGTGCACCCTTAAAATTCTAGAACAATCTTGAAATATGGACAAGAAGTTGATTAATTTTTCAACTTATATCGGCGCGCAGCGTAGCTGTTTAACCATTTTGAAACTAATAGCATTCATCAATTTGAGTATTTCAGTACTGTGGTTTCATCCATTTAGATCTCCGAAATTTCAATGATCAAATAATTCAAAAAATAAAACACTTTCGAATTTCAATTCTAAGATGTGATTTTATTATACGTAATCATTTAATAAAAAGCGTCGAAATACTGCTTGTTTATTAATGGCATTTAGAATTTTTTAAAATACAATATAAGTATCATAGTTATTAATAAAGTTAGAAATATAGAGGGAAAAATATTGAGACCTCTCTCACTTTCTTGAACAATGCCATTGCGAGTTATTTTAGCCCCATGCTCCACTAGGAATTTGACAATTTCTATTGAATTCGCTCTGATTGCAAAGGTAAGAGGGCACCTATTAACATCGAAAGAATATCATAGCACAATGACAAACATGAAAAGAAAGAGAATCACATTAAATGATGACAAATAGAAAATGAAAGAGAACAAAATCATTATTAACCTTAAAGCCATGTTTAACCAGGAATTTGGCGATTTCAGTTGAATTCAATTTGTTTGCAATTTTATGAGAGTCTCCATTAATAATGAGGGAATCATATTAAATAATGGAAAATATGAAAATTAAGAGAATAAGTTCCATGTTAACATTTGCACCATGCTCAACTAATAATTTGACAATTTCGAGTGAATTCGCTTTGATTGCAATACTAAGAGGGGATCCATTAATATCTAGAGAATTTCATAAGAAAATGATAAACATTAAAAGAAAGAGGCTGTAACAAAGCAATGATAAATATCAAAAGAATGAAAATATGAAATGAAAGAAAACTTCATAAAACAATGATGGATATCATAAGAAAGAAAATCACATTAAACAGCGATAAATATGATATGAAAAAGTATTGAATAAAACCATGATCAATTTGAAATGAAAAAGAATCATATAAAACAACGATAAATATTATAAGAGAGAGAATCCCCTAAAATAACGATAAATATGATAAGAAAGAAAATCATATAAAACAACAATAAATATGATATGAAAAAGGATTATATAAAACCATGATTAATTTGGAATGAAAAAGAATCACAGAAAACAACGAAAAATGAGAAGAATGATCGTTCTGTAAAATAGTGATAAATATGAAAAGAATCAAAATCCAATATAATAATGCTATATATGAAAACAAAAAGTATTTTGTATAACAATGATAAATATGAAAAAATGGAGAATCAGATAAAACAACGAAAAATATTTTAAGAGAGTGAATTACATAAAATAATGATTGATATTATAAGAAAAAGAATAAGTTTCATGTTAACATCTGCGCCATGTTCAACTAAGAATTTGACAATTTCGATTGAGTTCGCTTTAATTGCCTTACTAAGAGGACATTCATAGATATTGAGAGAATTTCAGAAAACATTAATAAATATAAAAAGAAAGAGAATTCCATAAAACAATTATAAGTATGAAAAAAAGGAGAACTATATAAAACATTGATGTATATTAAAATATGGCGAATGATCTGAAACAAAGAATAATATAAAAAGAAGGAAAATTCCCTAAAACAATGATCAATATGAAAAGAAGGAGAACCCCATAAAACTATGATAAATATGAAAAGAAAAACAATGAAATAAAACAGCGAGAAATATGAAAAGAAATAGAATTAAATAAAGCAGCGAGAAATATGAAAAGAAAAAGAATTCCATAAAACAATGATAAATATTAAAAGAAGGAGAATTGAACAAAGCAATGATAAATATGAAAGGAAAAAGAACACAATCAAATATTGAAAAATATGAAAAGAAAGAGGATTTCAAAAAACAATGATAAATATTAAATGAAAGAGAATTGAACAAAACAATGATAAATATGAAACGAAGGAGAATTCTATAAAGCAACGATAAATATGAAAATAAAGAGAATATGTTTCATGTTAACATTTGCACCATGTTCAACTAAGAATTTGACAATTTTAATTGAATTCGCTTTGATTGCCATACTAAGAGGGTATTCATTTAAATTGAGAGAATATTATTAAAAAATGATTAACATGAATAGATAGAGAATTTCATTAAACGATGATAAATATTAAAAGAAAAATAATGTAAATCTCATTGATGTCTGCTCCATCAGAAATTAAATTTGAAGCAACATCATAATTTCCGAAATACATACATTCTGCTATTGAATTAGGAGTATATCCAAAATTTGATTTAAGGTACTCTCCAATTTCAAAATCATGACAGTTTAATGCCATATTAATTGTTTTTGTAAATGATCTCCCTTCATCTATCATTTCCATAAAAATGTTTTTATTTCCACCTTGAACTGCATATTTTTCGGAGATATCCGTATATTTAGCTCCCATATTTTTCAAGTAATTGAAGCACAATTCTGATCCGTATTTAAGTGCGCAATCAAGTGGGGTGATTTTATAATTTATCTTCTGATTAACTTCAAGATTTGGGAATTTAGTCTTAAGATCATCAATTTTATCCCAAGCAATATAGTATAAAGGAGATTCCGTTGAATATATATTGAGAATTTCTTCTTCTGTCTTTTTAGCCCTGAAATTTTCAAAATTCAAACCTTTATAATATAATAGCGTTGCTAATTTATTATTTTCCGGTTTGATGATGCATGAAAATTCATTCGATATTTTTAAATATAGTTCTGTAAATAATTTAATATCTTTAACACGAATTTGTGAAAAATTATCAATCAAGCAAAGTGCCATTTGGATAGGTATTTTGTTAGTTTTAATGAATTCTATAATTTTTGAAGAAATTTGTAGAATATTATTTGAATCGACACTCCAAATCAATTTTGAAGCTTGATTAGGGTATTGGAATGCCTCAATTGTATCTTTGTCCCTAAAATCATATTCATTTTCATTTGTTGGCTGCTCTGAACTTGACATGATTTTAAAATTTTGGCATTTTTGACGCAAAGTTTATAAAAATTACAAATATATGAAAAGGATAAGATATTTGTTTCTAGATGATAAATTATATATGCGAAAAATACTTTAAAAAAATTGTAAAAACAATACAAAAATTGAGTATATTTGCCATTTATCCAACAGCTTGGATTATATTTTCATCCAAAATGATTAAATACAATAAATTCTAAAATTTAGTCATCAATTTGGAACAATCTTATCTGATATTTAATTTCAGATTTGCCTTTAACTTAAAAATAGAAATGAACGCATCCATTCATAATAGTAATATGGAAAGTAGTATAATGATGAAAATGTTTTTGATTCCGTGCTGAAAGCCAAAGGAAGCAATCTGCACGCCGATATATAATTTGAAAAATAAAATAAAAAAATTCAAAAAAATTTAATGCTTTTAATTAATTAAAAAGCTTATGCTAATGGAATGTAAACTGTATCGATGACATCCTCGATCTTGTTATAACATAAAATTATGGAAAACATTTAAAACTTGATTTGAACTCTTTTTATCATTACATTTCATTGATACAGATTATCTCTATTCATTATGTAATAGATTTGGCTTAAAATATCATATTTGCATTGATTTTTGTTATTGAAAATTAATTTTAAAAATGACCTTTAAATTTCTCATAATATATGATAAGGAATAAAATTATGCTATTCATAAGGTTCTATTCCACATTTGAAAATTTAAAAAAAATCGCAAAAAGAAAAACAATTTCTAATTTAGCATTTTTTTCAAAGAAAAATAGATTCTCGAGTTTTTTTGAAACACAAGGATGAAATATTTTGTCTAAACTTTGAATTCAAACCATTTCTCAGTGTAATAAAACCTAAAATTTTTGAATCCAAATTTAATTTTTTTATAATTCATTTTAAACCATAATCATATGTATGTGATCATCAAGGAGTTTTCATAAATGTTATTCTCTAAAACCTCTTGTAATCTCCTGCCATTTCGAACCACATTTTAATTATTAATTGAGCAAAATAAAGATTATCATCCCATAAAATACAAAACACACATCTCCTTGAAAAAGCAATAAGACTATAAGTAAACATAAAAAGTGACTTTGTGCTCGTTTATTATTTCCAACAAAGATGTCTATGCTTAATTACCAAAAGCAGGAAAAGCTTGGAGAAGGCACCTATGGTGTCGTCTTTAAAGCTATTGATAAGCGCACAAACCAAGTTGTTGCACTTAAAAGGATTCGTCTCGATCAGGAAGAAGAAGGTATCCCACCAACCTCAATCCGTGAGATTTCTATATTAAAAGAGCTTCACCATCCAAACGTTGTCGGTCTTAATGAAGTTATTAACTCACAGGGCAAGCTTACTCTTGTTTTTGAATATCTCGAATACGATCTTAAGAAATTCCTTGATTCTCAGAGAGTTCCTCTCAAGCCAGATCTTATCAAGTCATATACTTATCAAATTCTCGCTGGTTTGTGCTACTGCCACTGCCATCGTATTATTCACCGTGATATGAAACCCCAAAATCTTTTAATTAACAAGCTTGGTCTCATCAAATTGGCAGACTTTGGCTTAGCTCGCGCTTTCACAATACCACTCCGCAATTATACACATGAAGTCATTACACTTTGGTACAGACCACCAGAAATCTTGCTCGGATCTAAATTCTATTCTCTTCCAGTTGATATTTGGAGTACTGGAGCTATTGTTGCTGAAATGATCTCAAGAAAGCCACTTTTCCCAGGCGATTCAGAAATTGATGAACTCTTCTCAATATTTAAGATTCTTGGCACACCAACAGAGGAAACATGGCCAGGCGTCACAGAATTACCATCATACTCTTCTACATTCCCTAAGTTCAGGAAGCGCAATCTTGCCGATATTCTTCCAGGAGCTGACCCACTTGCTATCGATCTCATAGAGAAAATGCTTATATATGATCCTGCTAAGAGAATTAGCGCTAAGGATGCTCTCGACCACCCATACTTCGCTGATCTTAATCCAGAGATTAAGGCAAAGTGCAGACCTGTTGAAATTGAACCAGTTACTGAATAAATTGCATTTTAAATTTTTATTTCATGAAAATACCAAATTGTTTTCTCTTTATTTTGTAGTAATAATACAATCCTGCAGTCATTTATGATCCAAAAATTTATTACATATACATTCTATTTGATTTACACGTGGATATTTTTTTATGATAGAATTTTTTTCTGTTATGTGTCCCGCAACAATGCAATAGTATGTTATTTTGTATGAGTACTTATTATTTTCATTTTCTTATGATTCTGTATTAAAGATATAAAGAATTATTTCATGTAGTGTGAGAATATATTGATTTGATTTAAAAATATTCACAATTTTAGTTACTAGAACAGGATTCATGTTAAAATTAAAAATTGAACATTTTATATATACGTTAATAATAGACATTTATTTTTGCTCAATAATTTGTTCTGTAGAAGTTGTAGTTGATTCAGACAATGGTTGGTTTTCTTCAGACTCACGTGACATTTCAATACGATCACTCATCTTAACGAGTGTGCCCTTAAGCATATCACGGAACTCCTGAGCCATTTGTTCTGACTTAATGATATTCTTTTGGATGATTTCATCCTTCTGAGCTCTTTGCCTATCAAAATCTTCCTGAGTATGACGAATTTGCATCTTCGTTTCAGAAAGTAATCCTTCTAATCGTTCTGCTTCTGCTGTAAGCTCTGCTATTTTCTTATGGAAATCATTCTGTTGTACTTTAAATTCACGAGTGATATCGTTGATAACTTCATTTCTATCGTCATTAACTTGCTTGCAGTCTTCCTTAATCTCTGCCAGCTTCTTGGCTTCTTCCCTTGCAATGGCTTCTGCCTTTTCTTGCTCGATGCGTTTTCTCTCAAGTTCTGCGTTTAAATTTCGTTCATGAAGTTCGGATTCGATTCTATAATCTACTGATGGAATAGTTTTTGGTGGTCCGCGCTGCTTTTTTGGATGCATTCACCAAATTTTTGTTTAAAACGGAAAAAAGTGACAATAATTTTAAACATTCGCTAAAATCAATTCACGCATTTCTTCGAAAACACATCTGCCTATTCTCAGTTAAGACAGAATCTAATTCTTTTTTATTGTTAAAATACTATTTTCCTTACATTTCTCCTTATATTGAATCTATTGATGTGATCACTATAGGACTCATTGAAAAAAGAAGTGGAAATAGAAAATAGAAAACAGTTTTTTACAAATAATTGCTAATATATTATCGAACATTATTTCTATGATAGACTTTCCAAGCTGGATCATCAATAATTAGATCCCATTTTGTAGAAACGTTGAAATCCATGTCTACTTCATCATGCGACTGCTTATGATATGCTACATACGTTACATTGTGTTTATCCATCCACTCCGTTTTATTTGGATTTTTCACACATTTCCGCATCTCATCTTCTCTTTCTGTTTCATCCAGATGATGGGACATAAGCCATCCTCTATAACCAACAAGAAGCTGTCTACCAGCTAATGTTGCAACTGGATGATCATGGAAAGAATCTGCAAGCCAAATTCCTTTAGGATCTGTTTTATCAATCACTTGTTTTGCGAATCCGTAGACATCTTCATAAGGATTCCATTGAGTGGCTGAATTAAGCATGTGTATTAAAATACACAATAGCCCTGAGAATATACAAGCAAGGAGAAGCAATAAGCTAGAAAGTTGGAAGAAGAAACCTTCTTGGTCTGACAAAAACATCAAATAAATTGCAACAACAGCACAAGCAAAAGGAATCCAACCAGCGTAGAAAACTTTAGAATTATCCATGTTCCAAGGTTGGTAATGCATTATATTGCTACAGAAGAAGACAAACAAAGCAGGAATATAGATCTTTATCTGTCTCTTCGTGAGAACAGCAAATCCAGCAAAGATAGAAATCAAAAAGAACATATATAATCCATCATACCACAAAATAAAGAAATTAAGTTTGTCATCATTCCAAACAGGGTTGATTGTAAAGAATCCTTTCTCTTGTGAGCGTTCCATATAAGGAACAAGTTGAGGAATACCTAATGTCAAAGCAGGAATTCCTAACGCAATGTAGCATTTGATTTGCGGCCACCATTCTTTTGGTTGTTTCCATTTGAAGTTAATCACTGCCCAAGCAAGCAACCACTCGAATGCTGCAATGAGAGCATGAGCTTGAATCTGTGGCATAAGAGCAACTATCAATCCTGCTAAAATAAAGGATTTGACACTGGTAAATTTTGATCTCATTATAATTACCATGAAAGCATAGGAAAGTGGTAATCCGAATAAGGATAATCGTTGTGGTAATAGGACATGCATTACTGTTTGAAGCCAATATGCATATCTATCTGCACCCCAGTTATGGACAAAATCAATTCCGTAGTCTTCTACTGCTTCTTTCTTGAAGATTCTGAAGAATCCGCGACCTCCAAGACATAAAAATAGCCATGGAGCAAGGCAACATGTAATTCTTTCTCGAGTAAAAATCGCAACAATTTGATTAAAAAGTAAAAGCATGGAAAATGCAACTGGTATTGATGGATACAGTATAGCTTCTGTCATTCTGCATCCAAAACAGCCTATCATGATTGAAGAGAGGAAATTTACGAGAACTGGATAGGCAAGTTTGACTCCAGCGAAAAATGGAGAAACAGTATCGAATAGGTATCGTCTGTTCTTGTTACACCCGTATACAAAAGAAGAGATGATGTTCATGTGAAATGGAAAATCTCCATAAACAGCACCTCTTGTAATATCTCCTTTGTACAAGAATGAAAATTTCATAAATATTAGCATTGATAACATAGGTAAGCCTAATATCAGTGCAAGTTCTTTAAGTGGAAAACCTTTTGGTGTTTTTCGTTGTTTTCTAAGAAGATGAATGAGTATGGCAGCTACCAAATAGCCTAATGTTGAATAGAGTCCGAGTAGAATTGAAAATTCGTATTTTAAATTAAGAACAAATATTAGCCATGCATAAGAATACATTCCTACGGGAATTCCGACCGCAATTCGTGTAACAACATCACATGTATCTATGAGAAAGAGAGAGCTTACCTCGTAGCCGCACCAACACCATATTGAGATATCGAGTGCGGCGCAAACTCTCTCAATCATTATGACATTTTTATTGCATTTCCAAAGATATTTCTAGTATTATAAGGATGCAATCGATTGTTTATTGGTCGGAGAACCTTGAATGAAAGATTGAAATTATTTTATGCATCGTATGGCAAGGTTTTGTGCTAGATATTATCATCCAAAAGGTAAATCAAATTTCGCGTTAAAACATATACCAAACAATAAAAAAATATTATTTTTGCATAATTAGCATTTGTTTTACTCAATATGTAGCTATGATAGTAATTAGTATATGAATGTGGCTCAATCTCTAATGTCAGATTCATAAAACTCAATGAAGTCAATCCTATTATACATTCTATTTCATTGAATTTTTGATCTTATAACCGGATGAAACTAAAATATTTATGTTTCTAATGATCTAAACCTTGGCAATAGATTTTCCATTTGATATCCACTTAGAAAAATTCAAAAATACAAATTTTACGATAATAAAGCTTTTAAATGAACACACATAACAATTACCTTCAAACAAATGATTAAATATCAGGGCAGCTGATGTCGAACAATCCCATTTGAGTTTGCCCAATGCTTTCTGTGATCTCTTGTTCATGGTTGTCCCAGCAATCGATCCAATCCACCTTTGGTGAATCCTTGTCCAATGATGAGAAGAATGTTGAATTTCTCATTGTTGGTGAAATAGGAGAGAGCATTGTAAATACAATTGAACTCTTATCCAAAGCTGGTGTTGGGATTACGAGCGAAGGTAATTCATCTGGTAGTGAAGGAACGTCAATGTTCTTCTTTTCTTCTTCGTCTGATGGTTTCTCTTCTTCCATAGCATGTGGAGAAGAAGCTGTCTTTGGTTCATCGTCAAATGATTCATCTGTTGGTTCATCTTCCTCAGAAGATTCTGTGGCATTCTTTTTAGGACTTGGTGGAAGATTAGCAAGAATCTGTGAAGCCCTCTTCTTAAGTGTAGAGTTCCACCTATTCTTTACTGCATTATCTGTTCTTCCTGGAAGCATCTCTGCAATACGAGCCCATCTATTTCCGAGCTTGAACTGAAACTTGCAAATGATTTGATCTTCCTTTAAAGTCCAGCCTGTCTTGATAAGTGTAGGGTTGAGAGAGTTGTGCCATCTCTCGCGGCATTGTTTTCCAATACGACCTGGAAGAGACTCTGCGAGCTTCGTCCAAGATGTAGGTCCATGTGTGTTTACCCAGTCTACAATAGCTTCATCTTCTTCGCGGGTCCATGATCCATTGATGAAGTCTGTAACTGGTGCATCTGCCCACTTCTCAGAACCATAGCGTCTCTTCTTGTCACGACGATTTTTCTTTTCGCTGCGTGTTTTATACCTTCCGCCATCACTATTTCTCCAGGAGAATCTTGTTGGAACAGATCGCATTCTCATGCGGGTGGGTGCCAAAGGTTCGTTCCCTGTGGTTGCTTTCTCTGAACTCATTTGCTTTCTAAACGTATGTTTTTCTCGTTCAGCTTTTCATATCAATTATTTTTTTACAAAATTTTGAAAGAAATTATTGCCAATTCGACTTCCTTAGTATCACTGATCATTCTAAAATAAAATGTAAAAAATTGAGAATTGAGAAGTGGACGTTTAATTGAGTATTTTGATTCAAATAAACGTCCACATAATAAACGTACAGTTTTTCTATCGGTATGATTTTGTTCTTCACAATACTGAATTTATTAAAAGTGAGAAAGACAATGATGAAAGAATGATGAATTACAAATGGAAATCTATGATCTTGGTCAAATATCGTCAAATTGTGATTGGAATATTTATTTATTTTTCTATTGTGAATTTCACGGTGGATAAATGTAGCGAACAGCATTTTTATTCTATACTATAAACAGTGCACAGCGTATAAACTTAACATGCCATAATCTGAAGCCATTTTCCAGAACTCGATGGAAGATCAGGATATTAATAGCCAATATAGCATTATTTGAGATATTATTTAATAAATGTGAGTATATTGTTACTCAAAATCTAAGATCCAAAATTTGAATATTGAAAATTTAGAGTATTTTCTCATTTTAAAGTAATAAATGTATATAATTTACTTTTTAAAATCGATTTGTACATCTAATTCTTGTACTTTTCTCATACTCCTCATACGACCGATATCAAACTATGAGAGAATTCATAGAAACGAAAGATACTGCATCACATTTCTAGTAACTATGGTACTTTTTTAATCAGAAAGAATAAAAATCTGATTCATCCATAGAGCCTTACTTTGATTTGTCAAAAATGTGACATTTTTAAGAATTTTTTTTTCATCAGATAATTTTTTAAATGGACTTAAATTCCGACTTTCAATCACTAATAATTGACATTATTAAGTTCAGTAGTGTTTTAAAGCCGGAATTGTATCACCAGAACGAGCAGAAATATCGATTTTTGAATGAATTACGCTTTCCATCTTCAATAGAGCAACTCCTTCACCCGATAGAAACAAATAACGTGATGGATATTATTAATTGCATCCTTAAAAGCGGATATTCGTTTCCGTTCTTCCGAGAAGTCTTAGCAATTCTACCAAAGCAATTGGATAAAACGATAGAGTACTCAGAATACATCGAGGCATATATGTTTCATAACTTCATTGCTTTTTTATTACTTCCTGCTCATTTGCAAACCGAAATTAATCTTTTAACAATTTTAAATAATATTTTAGTAATTATCGAAACAAACAGGAAATCGATTATCGCCAAGAAAGCATTCCTTTATACAATCTATATCGCATATCATAACAATCATCATTCAATTCCTACAAGTGTTATTGCGCAATTTCATTCTTTTACTATAAACTACTCAGAAAGTGTCGAAACACAATGCATTGAGTTAACAACGTATCTCGCACAAACATACTTTTCCACCGAGCAATCCTTTAATACTGATTTCGGTTACTCTTTATTATCAATTATTACGAATTTAACGAGATTCGAATTACAGTCTTACCAAGCCGATAGGATATTAACAGCTATCACACCCGGACTATTCATTTTACCAAATCCTAATATAATTGTTTACGAAGTTTTTCAAAAAATAATTTATAAATGCAATCTTATCAAACATCTTGATATTTGCGAACGCATAGGACCATACTTAATATATTTCATATCTCTTGCCAATAAAGATTGTCCTTTAGACTTAGTAAATCATTATGAACCATTTCGTAACATTTTATCAGATAATTTCCAACCGGCACCTTTAGATGAAACATTTTCAAACAAATTTGCATTCATTATGCCCGAAAATATTAACAAACCTACGTTTGATATCGAAATTCCACAAATTGTCAGTAACATCCTCGAAATCATCTTCTCGAGCTTCCACGATGATACGGAGTGCATGAATGCAATACTTTCATCGTTCCTTAAGGACATAAAAAAACACATTTCAGAACCAAAAGCAGGAATTTTGTTCCAGTACTTCCTATACATTGCGGAACGTGCATCCGAGGTTAACGCACAAGTATTTACAATAGATTTTATCTATACACTAGAGATTTTTGACTTAGCTGTCACTTTTTGGACACCAAGAGAAAATTTCGAGAATATGAGTACAATAAGGTCAAATGCACTTAAGTTTATTATTAGTAAGAAGCCAACGAACGTGTTCGATCTCATCTCCAGACTGAAAGAATACCCACTTTTCGTGGCAGATATTTTATTAAGGTGTTCTATGATGCCTAGCTTCGTCAAATATATACCGCACAACAACATTTCGGTCATTGTTGAGAGTCTTCAGCAGCACTGCTACATAAATCCTTGTTTTGAGGCTTTTGTGGCAAGAAAAGTTTTATTAAATTACATTGAAGAGATTTCTAAGTCAGATGAGATAGTGGAAGCACTGTTTCAGAACGTATCATTCATGAATGTGTTCATAAATCTGATTTACGAACGAGAAATGAGAGATTATGTTTTTAATTTCTTTAATTCGTTCTTGAAGAAGAACGCTGACTACTCAAACATATTCCAAAGCTATGGATATGTCATGTCTGAGGTCTTATTCCACGCTGCTGATGAAAATTACTTACAATTATATTTGGATTTGTTTTCTAACTTCGTGAACATTGCGGACTATATTGGTTTGGATATATTCCTAATATACAAGGCAAGCATACTCAAGAATCTCAATAATTTCTCGTTTTCGAAGCAATCTCGTCTGAGATTCTTAAAAAACTTTGACTTTTTCAGAAGTTGCAGGAAATATCCGTTAACAGCTGATGACTGTGATAACATGCTAAGAGCCGCTAGAGAAATTTTTGGAAATGAAGATTTAGATTTATTATATTCGAGTTTATTGGATTATTCAACAGGATTCCCACAAGAAGTTGATAACCCTATTATATTAGAGCCAAATTCATTCAGACTAACCATAGAATTCTTCTTTGGAACCAAATTTTGTAATAGAATTTTAGATTATACGTTTAAGATGTGCAATGATAACAAAGAGAACTGTATTTCATGCTTTGAAGGTGGAGTAGATGATTATATCATTGATGAAGCTAAGAGATTCAAGAGTTCTGAAGTAAATGAAACAGATCTCCAAAAATTGAAGAAATTATTTGATATTTTCATGGAACTCGTATTAGTTAAGACATCACAGAAGGTTGTCAATAAGTTTATAACTCTTTTGACTCCAATAAAATCAAAAGATGGAAATTCTTTTGTCAAGTCTCCTTATTATCAGTTATACATGGACACATTGAACACTATAATCAAACGCAACTACAAATTATATGGTCCAACAATCACAATTGGAGATCCAAGTTATTCAGAGTATAATATCAAATCAATACAAGGTCTGAGCTCAGGATTTTCAATTTTGTTCTGGGTTAGATATTTTGATACAGAAATTTCCGATGATTTTTCGCCATTACACATTTTGACATTAGATGATCGAGGCGTAAATAAGAAATTAGAGGTTTATCTTCATAACAGATCGATAAAGATTTTTTATGATACCGAAACAACCATCTCCAGCCAATTTTTACCAAATCAATGGACAATGATCTCTCTTAGATTCCTTAAAATGAGTAATCGATCGTTTTCTCTTATAGTTTCATACAATATGGAACAGATTTCCCACTTCAGCGAGTTCAATCTCCATAGTTTTACAGATTCAACATCTGGATTGTTGTTTAAACCACAAGAACCAGGGAAAAAGTACGCTTCAGTTGAGCTGAGTCAGTTGTTTATATCTAATAACACCAAACTGGATATAGTTAACCAGTTCTACGACATGAATTGCTTCAGTTCTTATCCAAATGAGAAAAATTTGTTGTTGACATTCAAGGCAATCTCAGTAAAACAGAAGAAATCATACGACGACAACAGGTTTACAACATATCTATTGCTATGGAACTTAGAACCACTGCTTCCTTTGTTTACTTCGACGAATTTTGCAAATTATGATGGACAAGTCAACAAAAATGAGATGAAGAATGTGGTCAGACTGTTCACAATGTTGTTGTATAACGATAACGATCAGTATAATTTCACAAGAAACGAAAATATCGGAAAAATTTCTTATTTATTAGAGCAAACAAGCAACAAGACGCTCTATTTGAACTACGATTTGTATCTTGAGATATACGCGCTCTTCAGATCGATTTCAAACTTAGAATTGAAAAAGAAAATTTTCCGAGATATTTTAATTTACATGCCAATATGGAAAGGAGCCAGCTTAGTTGACCAGCATAAGATAATACGCCATTGGTCAACCGATTTGTTCACTCATGATCTTCAAATCGCTCAAATTGTTTGTAATTTCTCTTTCTTCTTCCCTCTTTACAATTTAACATACAGCTACGAGAAGTTTTCTCCACAAAGTGACAGCGATTACTCTTCCTTACCACTCGATGAGATGTTTACACCTGCTTCCAAGAAAATCGAAGTTGAAGGGGAAAATTCCGACTCAGAAAATTCCACTTTTTCAGAGAAAACTTCTTCCATTGAATTGTTCAAAATGATCCAAGAAGATATTATTAACATTTGCAACATAATAGCATCATATAACTTCACAAAAGGCGATTTCGACCTCTTGTTTTACTACATTTACGAATCTAACAACAATGAACAGGTCATGAAGTATATTAACTTGATGTCTCGCATCATTGACAAGTCTGAGAAGATAAAGACAATAGGATTAATGCCAGAAGATGTAGTTCGCTTCCAATTATTGTTTAATAAATCTAATTCAGAGCACTTCATCACAACTATCATTGATATTGTGATTAATATACACCATAAGCAGATATTTGTTAAGGAAAACTTGAGTTGGACCACAGAATCTTTCATTATTTCTCTAAGTCCGAAATATATCACAGATGACATCTTCAAATACTTGTCAAACAACAGTTTGATATTCATGGATATCATTCCTTTGTGCATTTGGTGCTCTCTTGGCACAAATGAGAAATCTGACGAATATCAAACACTTCTTTTGACTAATTTAGGTCTTGGAGCTCAAATCGAGTCTATCACTAACAAGAACTTGCTTCTAATTTGGTGCTGCATCTTCATTGTCTTGACAAAAGACTCTGATAGAAAATACCAAATGGCAATTTGGGTTTTACAAATTGTAACCTTCGAACATCTATTCATCTGCTTAGATTTCGTTGCAAAATGCTTGAATTCTGATTCAGATCTCATTATTTCTGATCTTCTCAAAAAATATTTCGAAAATCACCAAGGAAACAAAGAGAAAATGATTGATCTGATCGAATATTCCTCAGTATACCTGTTCATGAGGCTCAAATCCAACAAAATGAAGTTTGATAATTCTCCAAATCGCGATAAAATCAAGAAGTTCGTAGATTTCAAGGATATTTTCAATACAAGTCTAATCTACAAGAACTTACTGGTCCGAAACGTGAAACACGGCCGTAATTATCCAGGAATCAAACTTCAAAACAACGAATGGATGGATTTAGAGTTTGCCATGAAGCTATACAAGTATATCTGCCAGAACATGCTCGTTAGCTGCAAGAACTACGCGATTTTGATTGGTTTCTATTTGGCATTATGTCAGAAATCGAATCTTCCTGAATTTGACGCGAATAATTCATTCATTAGAGAGGATTCTCTTCTTTTCCAGACTCTTTTCTACAGTTGCAAGGAAAGAAACGACAGAACTAAGTTTGAAATCCTTAACAAACTCAATCCAATCATTGAATCTGTCTACTCTTTACTTGCAAAGAATTATTTTGACTCAAATTCCAGATTTTTGACAGTTTTCTATCAAAAAGTGGAAGAATCTCACAATTTCATTGTCAAAACCGCTCCAAGAATCAACAGTGAAGTTAGTTTGAAGACATTAAGTCAAGTAAACATGTTACAGAGTATTAGAAGTGACAATGACACGTGGAGACATTCATGGAGCCAATTGTGGAGCCAGTTAAATGCGAAATGTGGTCCTTGGGATCACAACAAGAAACAGTATTTCAAGAGATCATCGAAAACATGTATATACGGTGTCCCTCTCCTGTTCAAAGTCAACAAACACCCTGTGAAGCATCTAGCATTCGGAGAATTCATAAGACAATCAATTTCTTTGGATCTAAAAGAAGAAGTTTTCTCTAAAAATGTGTCTCCGCAAAGATTAATCACAAAAAGTGACAATTTTATTTGTGATTTACGATGTACATTGATCAAAATCAATAAGGAAGAAGAAGGTGTATTCAGACTCTTCAAGAAACGCATTGAAATCGAATTCGACACGAAAAGAATTATTCAAATCGATTTCCAAACAATTCAAGGTGTAGCAATCAGAAATCATTGTCACCTTTTGACTGCAATTGAATTGTTTTTAGATTCCAAGTCGTATTTCATTGATTTCGGACAAAAAGTCACTTATAAGAAGTTAAAAGAAATCATTGAACACATATCATTGAACTCAAACAACATAGTTAACATTGTAAAATCAGAGAAATTCTGGGAGAATTTCAAAGATTTGCAGTTCACAAAGAAATGGGCGAAAGGAGAAATTTCTAATTACGAATACTTGATTCGCTTGAATTTCCACTCTGGAAGATCCTTCAATAACTTGTCTTGTTACCCAATTTTCCCGTGGATTATGTCTGTTTACGACAATATAAAAATTGACCAATTAAATTCGTCACTTTTCAGAGATTTGACACTTCCTATCGGCGCAATCGGAAAAGAAAGACTTAGATCATTAAAAGAAGATTTCTATCAGGAATGTCACTTTTTATACAGTTCACCACAAAGTTCTCCTTTAACAATCAATGTTTACAATGTTAGGATTGAACCATTTGCATCTAAACAAGTTGATTTACAAGGCGGACACTTCGAAGATCCAAATCGCCAAATGAGAGATTTAAGTGACATGTACAAAATCGTTACAAAAGAGACGAATTACACAGAGTTAAGTCCAGAATTCTTCAACACTCCTGAGATATTGTTGAATGAAAATGAATTCGATAAAATACCAGATGTTAAATTACCATGGAATTGTGAAAGTGCAGATCATTTTGTTTATTTGCACAGGAAATTATTGGAATCGAATTTTGTCTCTGAGAATTTGCATAGTTGGATTGATTTAGTTTGGGGATACAAACAAACGGGAGATGAAGCAATAAAAGCAAATAATATCTATGATCCAAGATTTTACATCAATTCACATTTGACAACATCATCTATGAGTGAAGAAGAACAAAACAACTTGTTTGTTGCGAGAAGACAAATTGGACAAATCCCTCCACAACTGTTCCAAAAACCTCATCCAAAACGAAGTGTCAAAAGTGACAATCCTCCATTTTCATCACCTTTTTATGGAAAAATCGGATTCGGACAGATCATTATGTCATCAATCGAATTCGCCAAGAACGACAACCTTAAGATCTTAGGTTTGACACAGAACGGAAACTACTTCAGTTTCCCACAAAATTCACAACCAACAAGTTTATTGAATCTTTCAGTCAAACCTGCATTTCTATCTTTCTGTGGAAGTGAATGTTTCACAGTTTACTTGAACCATGTTATTTCTATTGACTTGCACAGTGGTAATGTTACTGACTACAAGATAGTTGTTTTCAATAACATGACAGTGATCAATGGCTGTTCTAAATTCATTGTTTTAGGATACAATGATTCAACAGCTCAAATCATCAACAGAAATACTAAAAAAGTCACACAATTAAATCTTTACCGCGGCAAAGTCACATGTTTAGACATTTCTCTTAACTTCGGTGTTGTTGTTATTGCTACAGAAGACGGTGTTATCACAGTCGCTGACTTGTACACTGGCGACACAATCAGGAACATCATGGTTAATTTCACAGTTCATCAGATTTGTATCACAAAAACATGGGGATTCATTGTCACATCTTCGAACGACAAAAGCGGACAGAAATTCATCTCATGTTACACTATCAATGGGAGATTCATCAGACAGAAAGAAGTCCAGTCTGTTGCAGATTCTATTGTCACATGGTCATCAACAAGTGGATTCGACTACATCGCAGTCAACTTGAGTGGCATTGTCAACTTTTCAGAAGCATTCTTCTTGAAGTTTTCACCGAAATACAACAGATACTCAGGCAAGATCTGTCGCATGGAATATTCCGATAAGATGAAATCTCTTGTTGTTGTTCGTGAGAATGGTGAATACGAGATACATCCAATTCAAATGTAATTTAGTTAATTGTTTTGTTTTATATTATTTATTTTTATTATTTTTGTTTACTTGTTTATAAAAATCTATTGTTTATTTTTAATTTCAATTCTGATCAAATCGAACACTCAGAAGGCATGCAAACCAGGAATATTTCAAGAATAATCCAAATAAACTCCAGGTTCGTTTGGTAAATGGAAAAATTCTTAGATTTTAAAAAAAAAAGAATCAAGAAAACAGATATATAAAAATCTTTAACGAAGTGTTAGGTTTATCTGAATCAGATCTCATTCATATTGAAACATCATGGTAAATCTTTTTGTTTTGTAGATAAATTAAAAAATTATACAAATTACAGTTTTTTCTGATCAATTCAAAAATTGTGATACAACGGAAATTTATTGAAATTGTAAATTTCAATGAGAAACTCTATTAAAGTTCAGAATTATATGCGAGTTATCATTTAATTCCGAAACATCTTTTAGTATATAATTAACTAATATCGTTGAAGAATTATTGGTAGAAATAAATGAAATGAAGAAACGTTTTTATTGATTTAAGGAAAACTATCGAACAAAAGGAGCAATTCATAGCGATAATGTACCATATAGTATATGGAATAAGTTTTATTCTGACTCGTTCAATGGAGAATTTCATTCGAATGAGAAAAACAAAAATGTTACGTCAATGGATATATCTCAGTATTTTGCATATAAATGCAGCTTTGTTATGTGTACAATGCGTCCTATTACTATTGAACGAGATGAAATATCTTTCCTCCACAGTGATTGTGGATTCACATCATGCTATAATAAAGATGATGGAGGCAGTATATTTATGAGAGCTAATAGTTCTCTATCAAACTATCGATTTTGCATTTTTGATTCTTGCACTGATCGAAATACATTGGGTTCCGCAATACGGATAACCTTTGCACTAGAAAGCCAAAAACATTTAAGAATTGAAGATGGATCAATATGTAGCTGCGGTAAAATACAATCTGCAACAGTGAATTGCGCAAATTGCTCTCTTACAAAATTTTCAAGATCATCTGGACTCGCGAATTCGCGTCCTTCAGCTCTCTTTTTTAGCGTGCCGAATAAATAAAAGTCAGAGGGGGCAATATCAGGTGAATAAATTGGGTTTGGAACAACTTTGACATTGTTTTCCACCAAGTAATTCATTACCTTATGACTTTTGTGAACTCTTGAATTATCAAAATGAATTGCAAACTTTTGTTTTTGTTGTTTGGATTTCTCAAACTCATCAGAATTGATAATTTGAGTAAGAACATTGTCAATTAGATACTGAGCATTCATCGTATTAGGTTTTTGAAGAATATCAATTGCGATGATGCCATTCACGCCCCAAAAAACCGACAACATCATCATTGGTGTGTCAATTTTTTTCTTCGGGAATGTTTGCGGATTTTCATCCTTCGGGATCCACATGATTTTGGCTTCTGTTGCATATTGAAACCAAGACTCGTCCCCTGTTACTAAAAAGCAAAACTTCTTGGATTGATACGCACCCAATATAGAGAGGAGCTCTTTCGAAGATTGGACTCTAGATTTTTTTTGAACTGAATTAAGGTTGTGCGGAACCCAACGTGTATACGCTAGTTTGTAGTTCAAATAATTGTGCAGATAATAACTGACTGTTGTACGTGGTATCTTTGTCATCTCCTCTATCCTTCTGAGTGATGCTCTTGGGTCTTCATCTAGCGCTTGAAGAATTGCTTTGATTTTTCTTTGATCCGGCGATTTTTTGTCAATTTTTATGATGGGCGCCTTTTTGTTCATGAAGTGATACATCCTAACATGATACGTTACAGTGGAATAGCTAGGAGCATCCATACCGAAGCATTTTACCAATGTCTCGTAGATTTTTTACAGTCTTTGCATTTTTTTGCAAGAGCGAGGATGTTTTCTTTATGATTCATTAAAAAAATGAAAAAAATCCCGCCAAAATTTCCCGCGAAACCGCCTCTTGTCTCAAAATTCATTTTATATCCCGGCATGGCGCCAAAATACAACATACTCATCATATACATATATTCATATTTTTTATTATATATTTATAATCAGCATATATCTCCTTTAATAGTCTCATATAGAGCGCTGTGCTAAACGCACCTTTGGACACCCTATATTATTTGACTTTAAAATATACAAATTTTACTGATAATAAAAGTTACGACACATCAGTATTTCAAATGTATTTGGAATTATGGCATCGATTGACTTTCAAGACATATTATTGTAATATTGTTAATAATGAAGCACCACAAAGATGTTTTTCTTTGTCAGGGCATACTTGCGGTTTTATCAACTATTCGAATTTTATCAACTATTCTGTCGAAAATGATGATGATTATTTCATTATAGAAACAGTTTTCAATATATTGAATATAACCAAATGTGCCCTATTACAGAATTCAGGTTATGTCATTGGTTTTGGATATCATGAAACTCCATTTCTTTATTTTTCGCTTTCAGATTGTTATATCGATTCAATTTCATTTCCAGATCAATATTATGAAGAATATATGAGTGATCGTTATTATATTAATAATGAATCATCAATAAATCATACAAATGAAATGAAAATTATTAATTTAAATCGATGTCTAGAACCATTACTAATATATGGAAATATTCAAGCATTTTGTCCATCAAAAGGGTATATTTATTATTATAGACAATATTTATTACTCCATTATATCAGTATTTTATTTTAATTAATTTATTTTTTACAATTTCTGGGTTTTACGGAGATTGCAAAAAATGCGCAAAAACGATTATTTAAAATTGAATTTGCACATTTTTTGCGTTTATGAAAAATTTAGGAGTTGACCATTATTTAAAATCAAATCCATTAATAAAGAATAGCAACGGTTGAGTATGCAAAAATATAAAAGAAACAATTAATCCATTTTTGACTGCTTTACACGGATTGATTTTTAAAAATGCAAAAATGACAGATTGAATTTAGAATAATCGTTTTTGCGCATTTTTTGCACTTGTAGGAAAACCCTAATTTCTAACCTGCTGAATAGAAAGCTCAATTTCTGTGTTTCTAGTTATCGTCAATGAAAAAGATCAATTTGAAAGTATCAAACCACATATTTATGAAATAACAAGTAGTTAAATGTGTAATTGCAAAATATTTTTACGCATTAAAACTAATCATTTGGTTATATCACCAGAATTGTTTTGAAGATATGAAGCAATTAAAGCAAATAATTTTGCCAATTCAAACAGGAGATGAAGCAATCAAAGCAGTTAGTATCCCTAACTTGGGTACTGTGGCACTGCGCGCCTCCGTACACCACTTAGCGGTTTTGACACTTTACGAAACCGGTAACGTATATTTTACAACACAACCATAACACCAACTTAACCTTAAATATTTACAAAACCGTCTGACACATAAACGACTTCACTAACGAACTCACTAACGAATTCACTACCGTCCTCACTAAATAAAAAATAACCTTATTTTTATTTTTTTTAAATTTTTTATTTCATTACAAAGACATGTCTGACTACATTTACTATGATTCTTTCCCAGAACGTTTCCGTGAACTATTCAAAACTCAAGTAAAACTGAGAAACATGCATTTTAACAAAGACAGACCCATTGACGATGAAAGAAACCCTAAATATATTACAATCCCATATGACGCAAAGTTCATTGCATACATTCCTTATGGTCGCAGAGGAACGAAAACTATTTCAACAAAGAACAAAAATTATTTCTGGAGCGATGAAGAAAATTGCCTTATCTACATAAATGCATACTTAAATAAAGCTACATATTGTACAAAAGAAGGTTGGACTGGATTTGAGCTCTACATATACGACGACGATGGAAACAGACGCTGTGTATACCCATACGATAATATGTACCATTGTTTTCATCAAGCATTAAACGAATACATAGTCAGTAAGGGTCTCATTCCTGCTGAGTAGAAATGTTATATTTTTGTTCTGTCATTTATATAAAATTAATGATATCACCACCCTCACACGTATGAAAACATAGCACAAAAATAAATTTAGGTGAAGTGGTGAGATGTCACCTGTTTTTTCACCCGTTGAATTCATTACTTTATAACTCTCTTCCTTGGTTTCTTTTTAGTTGCTTTCTTCACGTCTGTCTCCAACTTGACTGTCTTTCTTCTTCGTCCGTAATGATACCAGTTACTTCCACCAGTCAATGGGTCAAATGGTCTTTCGTAAGGATTTCCATACATTCCATAGGGACCATACGGAAGAACTACTGGTGGAGAAGAAACATTTTCTTTAGTTCCATCGAATCTATTTAAATGCATTGTTTCACCTTTCATCTGGTCATTAAAGTCTTTTGCATGTTTTGCAAACTCATCGTCCTTTCCTAAAGCATTTTCTGACTCAGTCGCAACCAAATTGGATGCTTTATTTATGAGCCCTATTTTATTTAATCTTAACTTCTTTGCAACCCAGCCTCCAATCTTCCCTTTATTTGCATCTAATGTCTTCGAAACCCTTCCTCCACTCATTTTATTTACTGCGTCATAAGCCCCAAGTGCTTTTGCTCCAAATGCTAATGCTTTTGTTCCCATTGCGCCTAAAGCTGTCCAAGCTACCATTTACACCATATTAAAATCATCTCTCTTCAATATTATCTCATAAAAGTTCTCGTTACTGGAGAAAGTCAATGAAACATAAACATTCTCATGGACTTCGTCCTCGCCGCGTTGCGGCTTCATAAACTTCTTTCTTATCTCATCTATACGCTTCAAAATGTCTGAACAATTGCTAACATCTTCTACAACAGTTATTTCATCATGAATGACCTTCAAGAACAAGCTCATTTAATATGCAATTAAAATCATCTCAATAATGAGTCCATCCTTTCCATCTTTAGGTAGCACAACATCTTTCATTGAAGAAGGTTCGACAAGTCTTATGTTAAACTTACTGACAAAGTTTGTTATACTATAATGCTTCGGTGGCGAATACATGTAGTTTGAAAGA